TGAATGCCCTGACTGAGCAGTCTCTCAGAGCTCCATACCTTTAAGGAGTAACGCCTGCTTGTCAGGACTTCAGAATTTGCATCCTGGACTATGATTGGGTTTTTAGTTTGGTCAAAACCAAAAGCTAGCTTGTGGTTTCCAGTTCAGGAGAGGGTTGGAGGGACCCTGTAACCTGAGAATTGAAGTAGCTGCATGCACATTTATGGGTCTTCTTTCGAGACCTCCAGAGGTCCAGAAACAATAGGTGGCAACCTGCTCACATTTAGTGCCTCTGAGGGCGGGGCCCATGTGACCAGCTGAGCTCATGGAACTCTTCTCCCTGGCTGCAGGTACCATGTCTACCCTACCTGTAGGAACACATCCGGGATTCTCGGGTTCTCTGTCACGGTGGGGACTCAGGCGACCAAATACAAGTAAGTGATTGTGTAAACGCTCAAACTATTGTTCTGGCCACGGAGAATGGGGGCTACAGGTTCTTCCTTAACCTCAGGCGACTCCGACCAAGTAGGGCTTGCTCTGTTAAGTCACTGGGGGAAGGCGAGAAAATTCTCGCTGGCCTGATCCAGGACTAACCAGCCACTGGATGGTTCCAGTAGTCTCAGGATTTTGCCCCAAAGTCCTGTGATACTGTGCAGGGCTTGCCAGTGTTTCTTCAGGCAGACCTGAGGACAGAGAGGCAGGGATGCCATGGACCTGACATTCATGCTAGAACCAAGGTGGTCGGGCACACCTGCACGCTGCCTCAGAAGGGCTACCAGGAAATTGGGTTGCATGTCAGGCGCTGGGGCTACTGGGGTCGGGGGTCCCTTCCCTTCACTTCCCTCAAACCTTAAGGTAAAGTTTTGAGGCCTGGGAAAACATCTCAGCCTTTGTCCCCAAGTACAGGGTACTTCAAAAGCGTGAGGGGAAATGGGATGAAAAGATCATGCAGGGATGCGCATTTGGTGCAGCAGTTAAGATGCTGCTTGACCTGCCACATCGCTTATCGCAGTTCCTGGTTGGAGTCCTGGCTTCTCTGCTTCTGGTCCGGTTAGTGCTGACATGCACCCTGGGAGGCAGCAGGCAGTTGCTCAAGTACTTGGGTCCCTGTAACCCATGTGGGAGACCCAGATTGAGTTCTGGGCTTCTGGCTTTGGCCTGGCCCAGCCTTGGCGGTTTGCAGGGATTTGGGGAGTGAACCAGCAAATGAAAGATCTCTGTCTCTCTGTTTCAAATAAAACGGCAAAAAAAAAAAAAAAAAAAAAAAATTTCCATGAACCTTTTGAAGTACCCTAATGGTAATCCTTAGTGTCTTAATCATTTCCCTCTGCTTGATACGAAGTCTCTGATGGCTTTTAATTGAAGATGTTTTATTTCAGCTCTGAAGTTGTTGATAAGAAGATAGAAGAGTTTCTTTCTAGCTTTGAGGAGAAGATCGAGAACCTCACTGAAGATGCATTCAATACCCAGGTGACTGCACTGCCTGGTCATTCGGCCCTGGTGTATACAAGCCCTTAAGACACCAGACACAAGTCTTTATTTGCTTATTTTAGTAGTAGTATTTGAGAGGTAGAGACAAAGCTCCCTTCCTCTTGGTCAGGCCAAAGCCAAACACCAGGGACTCATTCCATGTCTCTCACATGGGTAGCAGGGCCCAACTACTTGAGTTGTAACCTGTTGCTTCTTAGTGTCTGCATTATTAGGAAGCTGGAATCAGGACCTGGAGCTGGGACTTAAACTCAGGTACTCAGATGTGGGATGCAGGCATCTTAACTGTGGGGAGCAACTCGGACTATACTGTTACTGGAATTAAGACTTATTCTATGCATCTGCTCTCCCACAATGTGGCGCTGGGAGAGGAGCGTACAGCTTCTACCCAGCTGCCTCTCACCAACTTGACAAGCTGCAAGAGCCGCTCCTGATTGGAGGAGAGCGGCGCGCTCGGCGTGTGGGTAGCAGAGCACGGATTGGTGGAGAGGACTATATAGGAGGAGAGAGACGGCATGGTGGTGTGGGTTGGTTGGAGAGTGCGTTGGAGAGTTCGCGGGGAAGTTCGTTACTTCGTTCTTTCTCACTTCTCTCTACTCATTCTTGCTTTGGGAGTTTGCTGTTTACTTATTCTTACTTTACTATAGAAAGGACTTGTAAAAAAGGGAACAACAAGCGTCCGGTCCGGTGCGGCTCCTCCGCGTGCGGAGGAGCAGCAAATAGTGCCGTGACTCGGATACGAAGCCTAGGCAGGGCTTAGTGTCGTTCCTCCACGAAGACGGGGAGCGACATAATGGTGCCGTGACTCGGATATGAAGCCTAGGCAGGGTTCTGTGTCGTTCCTCCACGAAGAGGGGGAGCGACATAATGGTGCCGTGACTCGGATATGAAGCCTAGGCAGGGTTCTGTGTCGTTCCTCCACGAAGAGGGGGAGCGACATAATGGTGCCGTGACTCGGATATGAAGCCTAGGCAGGGCTTAGTGTCGTTCCTCCACGAAGACGGGGAGCGACATTAACTACTAGGTCAAATACCCACACAAACACAGTCTTAACAGTGCTGTGTGCCAGCCTCTTTTTCAACCACAATGTTCATCTACCTTTACCTCTCCTTATCATGGTGGCAGGCCCACCAGAGCCCAGGCTGGCCAGGGCTAATTATTCTGGCATGTTGCCATGCCTGAGTGACTCTTTCTGTGGGAACAGGTCACAGCTCTGATCAAGCTGAAAGAGTGTGAGGATACCCACCTTGGTGAGGAGGTGGATAGGAACTGGAACGAAGTGGTGACACAGCAGTATCTCTTTGACCGGCTTGCCCATGAGGTAAGTTTTCAGAGAAAGAGCCCTGATGGAACTGGCGAGGGTTCCTGATTCTACACGGGTCACAGGTCCAAGAAAAACAGTATAGTGTGGAAGAGAAACCTGGGACTTTTGTCCTGGCTTGATTCCACTAATTATGTGCCCATTTCTTGATTAATCAGTTGTTGTTTCCAGACTTCTCTTGCTAGCACATCCCTTAGTGATTACGTGTTAAGGTCTGGCACCAAAGTGTTAACCCTAAGTCACTCATTCACCTGCTTGGATCAGGGCAGCTCTGTATTTGTGTTGTATGCTTAGGTTTACCACAGGATTTTATGGAGAAAGGATTCTGTTAACAAAAACTGAGGACTAGTCTTCATGGAATTCCTCCTCTAAATTTAATGATTCCAGGTACAGATGTTGACAGCTTTCAGCTCACAGTACAACTTACAGAAAAGAGTTCTGGGTTGTGCAGTCCAGTGGTGCCTTGGATAATGTGTAATCCTATAAAGTGTGAATTATTTTTTAAAGATTTATTTATTTGAAAGGCAGAGTTATAGAGAGAAGGAGGCAATATCTTCTACCTGCTAGTTCACTCCCCAAATGGCTGCAATGGCTGGAGCTGGGCTGCTCAAAGCTGGGAGCCAGGAGCTTCCTCCAGGTCTCCCACATGGATGCAGGGGCTGATCTTCACTGCCTTCCCAGGTGCATTAGGAGGGAACTGGATTGAAAGTGGGGCAGCCAGGACTTGAATTGGTGCCCATATGGGATGCCAGCTTTACCCGCTGCTCTGAGAGGCAGAGCTGCTCACTTTAAGAAAACTGTTTTAGCTCATCTGTTTTAATATTTGCTGAATTTTCTCAGAGTGTGTAAGTACCATGTTTATGAGCTGTGACATTAATGTGACAGGTTTCTAGCTCAGTGTATGGTGTTAATTAGGGTAGCGACAAAACCGATCTTCCATAACATAACATAGGTTACTGTTAGGAAATGGTGTGTCATAAAGCTTCCCCTTTAGCCTTCTCTGGAGCCTGGAGTGCTCAATGGTAACCAAGGCCCAGGCGGGCCTGGGGGTTTTGTTTAAGAGCCATCTTCCTTCTGAAACATCTGTATTTCCTGTCTTCCCTATGCCTGTTAGATTGAAGCACTGAAGTCATTCTCAAAATCAGACCTGGTCAACTGGTTCAAGGCTCACAGAGGACCAGGAAGTAAAATGCTCAGTGTTCACGTGAGTATGGTTAATTAAGTGTAGTTCCATGCTTTCCAGGGTTGTCATTTCTCAACTGTGGGCATCAAAGATCCAAAATCGGACTTCACCCAAATCTGGTCAGCAACTTGTTTCTCACATCGCATCTTTGGCCTTTTCCAGGTGGTTGGATATGGGAAGTACGAGCTGGAAGAGGATTCCAACTCTTCTGGTGAGGATTCCAACTCTTCTTGTGAAGTGATGCAGCTGACCTACCTGCCATCCTCTCCTCTGCTGGCAGACTCGACCATCCCCATTACTGATATCAGGGCTTTTACGTCAACACTCAGCCTTCTCCCCTACCATAAAATAGTCAAATAAACTGCAGTCTTGTTGGCCTGAAGCAGTGTGTATTTAAAAATGTGTTTGTATTTTATGGAGTTACACTACTGCTGCTTTAGGGCTTCTCCTGGAGTTTTGCACTGGCATCACAGAATCTGATTGACTTTTTATCCCTCCTGAGACTAACCACCCAGGGTAGTAGCCGACAGGAGAAATCTGCTGAGCGGGCCCACTGGGAGCACAACACTTGCAAGCAGCAGTCTGGACAGCCCTGGCCTGCGTCCTCTCAGACTGAGACTCCTGCCCGTGAGAGGCGCTGCTGTAACTGATGTGTCACTAGTACCTAAATGCTAGGTACCAATACCTGTTTTTGTTTTTTAATGTATTTTTAAATAAAGATAGTTCTGTATTTCCCTTCAGAATGAGCCATTTGCTCCTGTGGTGTTCTTTTTGTTTCAGTGTGGGGTGAGAATCTCAAAGTCTACACTATTCTAAAACCTTCTAAGGGATAACGTGTTGGTAGCCCTACATATTCTGTATGTGCTCAGTGAAGACTGTGGAACAGCATGGTGAGGGCTAAAGTCACAATAGAAAATACAGAAAAGGATGGCTCCTCCCCCGATTTCAGAGTCCTGTGAGAAGCTAGCTCCTCTATTCGGGGGTGACAATTAACTGGCTTCTAAGTATAGCCATAAAAATAAAAGCACATTGAAAAAGATTGGAAAAATTATTTTATGAAGCTGTAGGAAGCACTGAGTATAATTAAACTGTAATCCAGCGTTAGATACAACTTAGTTCAATTCCAAAATAAAAGTTATTGTAGGTGAAACCATGAAATTTCCTTAACACTTGATTTTAAGTACATTGAGCTAGTTTTCTAAAACATCTCTGAGGAACCAATATTTACAGTAGATGGAGTATTTATGAAAAAAATCTCAAGTATATTTGTATTTATATATACGTATATATATATAGAGAATCCAAGATTACATGAACTAGGAAACAGCTTGTATATCTGAATAGCAATACTAGCGTGGCGAGCTTGAACTTGGATTTATAAATGCTGTTCAGAGCACAAGGTTTTGAAAACAAGCAGACATCTTGTTTTCAAAACCTAAAGTTTTTCTCAGGACTGAAGTCAAAATTGTAACTGCCACACAGGAAGAAAGGGAGACTTTTCCTGCTGCAATTGTTCCTCTGCGTCGGCAAGTCCAGTATCCCTGAGATAGGGGCCACGGCGACACGCAGGGAGCGCCGAGGTTCTCCCGCAGAAAGACTCTGCCTGATGGCACCTGCTGTCCTGGTCACTGGGGTGAACTCTGTGTTTCCCAACCTAATGCTTGGCAGCACCAAGACGTTTCAGCAGTGGCTCATCATAAACCCAACATTCTCCATCTTCATGAAACAACTGTTGAGAGAAAGGAGGAGAAGGTGGTTATACTCTTGCTTTGTACTCCTGTGATGCACTTTCCATTATTTCATATCTTCCCCCTTCTGCATTAGATGGAAAGTGTTTCATGTCAGGGCCAGGGTTTATCTTATTTATAAACATTTTTGTAAGCATAATATGTATAAACATATGTATCTTGTTTATAAACATAACTGGGGTTATCTTATTTATAAAGTGTTTGAAACTTCGATCTTCAGTATTCATTCAACAGAATTAACGAGTTACTGCTCAGGGTCCAGGTGAGAGTGAGGAGGCAGGGGCAGGCAAGCTCACCCTTGTCTCCCACTGAATTTCCTTCTCCTTCCTTTCTCGGGCTTCTGCTCTTTGTCTTTCTTCAAGTCTGTGCTTTGCTTCAGTGGCTGCATCAATGTCTCTGATTTTTAGATTGAAAGTGACATCCTTCCAAAGACTAAAGAAAAGAATCAAGAAAAAGTAACAATCTTGAGAATGAACGTCTATGCAGCCACCTCTGAATAAAGCATTATAGTAACTGCATACATCAAATGGCCTTAAGTGTTCATAGGCACTGGAGGACTAAGGTACAGAGAAATAGGCCCAGGACACTCCATCCTTTTTTTTTTAATGATTTATTTATTTGAAAAGCAGAGTTATAGAGAATCTTAGGGAGTGAACCAAGAGGGAAAACTAATCTCTCTATGACTGCCTCTGCCTGTCCCTCTCTGTAACTCTGACTTTCAAATAAATTACAGAGAGGGAGGATTAGAGATGGAGAGAGAGATCTTCCATCTGCTGGTTTACTGGCCAAATGGCCTCAACAGCCAAGGCTGGGCCAAACTGAAACCAGGAGCTTCTTCCAGGTCTCCCATGTGGGTCCTGGGGCCCAAGTTCTTAAGCCATCTTCCAAAGCTTTCCCAGACAATTAGCAAGGAGCTGGATCAGAAGTTGAGTCGCTGGGACTCGAACTGATGCCCATATGAAATGCTGGCACCATAGGTGGCAGCTTTAGCCACTATGCCACAATGCCAGCCCCCATGGCTTCCTCTTAAAACCATTATTTCCATTTCAGGAAAGAAAGCAAAGAGAAGTTAGCTAAGTTAGTCGTGGTTTCAGATCTAGTAAGCAGTGATGCTGACCTGCAAACCCAGGCATTCGAACCTAGGCTGCTCTCTGTTACCCTCTGCTCTGGTGTCTCCAAACCAGCCCTGTGCCCGTTACGGGGCAACAGTGTCAGCAGAACTTCAGTCTGTTTTCTTACCAGCGAGACTCATACTCATTCTGATCTTCCAACTTCCTTACTTTCTTCTTGATTATAGGCAACTTCTTTGTATCTACAAAGACTGTGTTTTCCTAGAAAACATGAGACAAATGTTACTACACAAATGGTTCCAGACAGGAAACTCGTCACAGAAAACTTTCAATTAACAGATCTCTTCATCAGACCCCATGTTTATTAAGGACACAGACAATGAATTACACTATGTAGCCTTAAGCCTAAATATTTGGTGTGTCTGTGTCTTATGTCTAGACTCTTAGAGGCTCATTCAACTAACATTTCACTGTGGCTAGAGGTAGCTCTTGACGAGCCAGACAAAATAAACAATCGGTCCTAACGGTAAGCATGCTACCTCAAGTACTGTTGTACACTGCAGATTCTCCAAGTCTGAAATCCAGTTCACTGGCTCTTCCTGTTAATCCCATACCACCTTTCTTCTTAGTTTGAAGAGAACAGTTTATTGGAAGTACTACAAAGTGTACGTTACTTAAAAGCAAGGACTTGAGCTCTGTGTATTAAACACGCACACTATAGTTAACTACTTCATCTCATAAACATCCCACACACGGTACTGATGCTTCTAACATTTCCTGGTGCTTAGGATGTGCCACTGTTACCTACGTTATTCTCAAGTGTTTTGAGAGCAGAGAGAAAAGTAAAAACTTTCTCTAACCTGCTCTGCCTAGGAAGTGGGGGAAGGAAGAAAAAAACTTGCCTGAAGGAGACATTAGAGCTGGCCTCAGGGTTAAAGTTCCAGGTGAAGAAAGCCAGAATAAGGGATATACTAAAATTCGGTGTAGCCTGAAATAATCAGCAAAATATAGGTTCTTACCCCCGTTGCGTATTTTGCATACATTACACCATTCCACTCTCCTTCAATGGAACAAAAAGACTTCTTGTCATTTGGAGAACTAAACAGAAAGGAAACATTTGCGTTAGTCTCAAATTAAAAATGTTCCCGCCAAAGACTGGCCAGTGTGGCCTACCTACACAGAGCAGAATAGAAGAGCAACTGTGAAGTCTTTGGCAAAAGCAGCATTAACAGAACTGGATTTCCTAGGGCCAGCTCTAAGAATGAGGGCTCTAAACAATGCAAGCATCACTCCGTCAGTCTTCTGCCTGACAGTACAGTGACTCTGGGGAAGTGACCATCACAGCAAAGGCAAGGGTTACTAAAGGGTGAGGCATGAACAGAGGTCTAGGAGAACTCGGAAAAATGAACAGGACAGATGAATGAAAGCTGCCACAACTGGCCAGAAACGTAAGTGTCCTTGGTAATTTGGGAGGACTGGGAAAGAAGATGGCATGGAGCCAGGTTAGGACACAGTCATGCAGTGGTTCTCAAAGTGTGGTGGTGATCCCTGGGGGTTCCCAGAACCCTGTCAGGGAGAGAGTCCATTAGGTCAAACACTGCATTATTTACCTTTTCCATTCAGTTTTCTCAAAGTGTACAGTGTTTTCCAGATGCTACGTAACATGTAGCAACACACGGAACAAAGAGGCACACAGGAGAATCATCTATCTTCACTAATTATAAGAGATTTACAAACTTTATATATGAAACAATGCCAAACTTCTCAAAATTTTTCAATGTTTCGATTTCCAGTATGGAAAATATTGATATAATCCACAAAAACCTGTTAAAGTTCTCTGGGGTTAATAATTGTTAGAGGAGTTCACAGACCCCAGAACTACCCAGCTAGTGTAATCGTTCATCGGACGCTCAGATTCCTGATTTAAGGCCCAGCTGCAGCACACCAGTGATTCGTGCTGCTCTCAAAGCTTCTGCCACACCCTCTGCCTACGTGAACTGTTTCGATTTTACACTGACCCTTACTTAAACTTTCTTCAACTTCAACCTGTGTTCATGGCTCTACCCAAGGTTTTTTTGGATGTTGATTTTGTCACCAAATTATCTTCCTGAAAAACTGGTTAACCAACAGTGTACCTTCCATCTAGGACACTGTTCCCAATAAGGCCTTCTAGCACAGAGAAGAAAGTTCCATGAACCATCACCACAGACTTGCCTCTTCCAGGCAGCCCCGGACCCACCCAGCACACAGTAACTCTCCTAGCACAGCCATCACTGGACCCAAGAGGAGCAAACTATCTAAGCCAAATGCCTGTGTGATGTGACAGTTACTGTATTTCCCCAGCAAAAAGCACAGAAAAGGAGGGGCTGTGAGGAAGTGAATGTCAGAGTCTTGTTACAAGGTCTAGCTCGTGGTCCAATCTGGTAAGAATGAGTGAAGAAGCCACGATTTGGGTTGGGTAGGCCACCTAGGAAGAAAATCTCATTAACAGCCTCTTTTCAACCTAGGTTTAAGGTCTCCTTTTGATACAGAATTTTATGAAGAAATGACACATAAAACAAACAAGTTTACAAAGACAGAACCATGAAGTCAGCCAATTCCTAACAATGTATGTTCCAAACCATGGAACAGTACTTCAGAGAAGCAGAAGAGCACTGAGGCAGAGCGAGAACACCTACAAGATCTCTGCAGTGATTCTGTGTTTCTTGCCCCCATAGAAAGGTTTAGTGTGGAAGACGATATTTGCACTGTAGCCCGTTTTGGAACAATTAATGTTGCATTCTCCTCCCAATTCCACCCAGGGCACCGTGAGGATAGACCTGCAAAATAAAAAGTTTTCAGGTCAGGTGCACAGTTAAGAGGAAAAAGAAGAGGGGCGTGGCGTAAGGAACAGCAGGGTCTCCTGCCGATCACAGCTCTACTTGCCTTCCGTAACCATTGGGAAACGTGAGGATGTAATGTTCATCGTAGTCCAGACACGAAACACAGCCTGTGGCGAGAAGGGACAGAATCTCTAGTGAGTCGAGTTGTCTGGCCATAAACCTTAGAAATTATCTCATACCCCACCCCTGCTTGAACCATCAATATGTAGGCTTACACGCAAACAATGGCATCAGTTTGGTTTTCTGAGAACATTTTCTCTTATCGGGCAAGTGTCCAGCACACAGTAGAATCAATTCTGCTCACATGGTGGTCTACCCAGTGCCCACAGACTTACCCTGCCCTATGTTGTGCACACCAATCGACATCCCAAGGAATTTTGATTTGGTCCAGATATGAGCATTGAATTGGATCTTCTTGTTAAAACACTCAGCATAAAAGGCTGAAACTGGACAGAAGTTATTGTCATTAGTGAACTATACAGCCACCATCAGCTCTCAAGCTGACTGGGGAGAACACTGGCTCCACAGCCTGCAATCAGACCGTGAGGCCCACGTTTGCTCTTCATTACCCCTTCCTCAGTGCAAGCATTCGTCCACAGCCCTGCAGGCAGAGAAGCCCTGCTCTCTGAAACGATGCTTGGCCAATCCAGCAGGCTTAAAATCAAAAGGGCTCTTGTTCTACAGCAAATATGACCTTGCTCCCGCCCCAGCCTGGGCCCATCTGGCATCCATTATGGCAGTCCTTTTTTCTTTTTCTTTTTTTAAGATTTTATTTATTTGAGAGATAGAGTTACAGAGAAAGGGAGAGACAGAAGAGAAAGGTCTTCCACATGCTGGTTCACTCCCCAAATGGCCATGATGGCTGGAGCTGGGCTGATCAGAAGCCAGGAGCTTCCTCTGGGTCCCCTATGCAGATGCAGGGGCCCAAGAACTAGAGCCATCGTCTGCCGCTTTCCCAGGCCATGGCAGAGAGCTGGATGGGAAGAGGAGCGGCCGGGACTTCAGCCAGTGCCCATATGGGATGCCGGTACCACAAGCAGAGGCTTAAACCACTACACCACAGTAGGGAAGTATTCTCTCCAGGAGTATACCATGCAGAAACTTCATACCGCTCATACAACTCACAGTCACCAAGGTCTCCAAAGCACAGATTATTATTTGTGAGATGACTGTGGGAGCATCAAAACGTGGCTTCCCGAATCCCTTCTTTTTATACATATTTAATCAGTGAGGCTAACAGTCTTAGAACTGGGGCTGCTGCTGTGGTGCAGCAGGTAGCCCTGGCGAGCAGTGCCAGCATCCCGTATGGGCGGTGCTTTGAGTCCCTACTGCTCCACTTCCAGTCCAGCTCCCTGTTAATGCACCTGGGAAAGCAGCAGAAGACGGCCCAAGTGCTTGGGGCCTGCACCCATGTGGGAGACCCACAAGCAGCTCTTGGCTCCTGGCTTCGGATCAGCTCAGCTCCAGCTGCTGCGGCCACTTGTGAAATGAACCAGCAAATGCAAGACTTCTCTCTCTCTGCCTCTACCTCTCTCTGCAACAGTCTTTCAAATAAATAAATCTTAAAAAAAAAAAAAGTCTTGGAACTCATATAAAGAGCAGATAGATATGAGGAACCAATTAACTGAGTTTCCGCTTGAGGTAACAGAAGCCGCAGCCGGCTGTACAGCTGACAGTACAGTGACTTCCGCTAGAGAGCTAGCAATGGCCCACGCGTGCATGCTGCAGAAGAGCTCTGTGACTTACTGGGTGGATGATGGGAAACCTGTTCAGCCACGAACGTTACACTGTTTTTGGAAACCCAGGGAACTGGTCCTTCGGAAACTAGCTCCTGTAAGCAAATACAACATGTTCTTTCGATGTGGAAACATGGCATCACAGAGAATCTGGTAACTGGAGAGAGTGCTCCCTCCTCTGCACACTCGAGCCCTCTAACATTTCTGTCGTGGCATTTAGTTACATGGATGTAATTACTGCTTTGTGTCAGTCTCCCTGATGAGAATAAACATTCTTGAAGGCGAGGTCCATGGGCCTAACTCATGACCCGGCCTGGCACAAAACAGGCAGTTATGTTTGCAGATGAATAAAAACAGACACCCACTGCCTTTGTCTCTAGTCGTGAGCCGAAGCTCATGTTTTGTTTCTTCGAGAGGGAAAGAGTGGGAGTCACGTCTGCCGAGGCTACGTGCCAGGCTGTGGGCCAGGAGCTTTTCTCTCCCCCGAGAGGACTCTGAACAGGTGTCAGTCTTCTGTCCTGTGGCTTCTTCACCACAACTCTCAGCGTGGAGCTACGGGGGCTGCGTGTGGGTGACCTACTGTTTTCCAGCTGTGACGTCTCCCAGATGATTTCATCTAATCCTAGGGCTTGAAAATGATTTCTAAAGACACTAAAATCTCTGGAAACCTCATGGCCATCTCTCTCCTGAACTATAACTCAACTCCCCAATGAACACTCACATGCTCTTGATGCCGCCGCCCCTACTATCTTTTCTCCTTACCAGTAAATGACACCAGCACTGCTGACGCCTGTGTACCAGGACTCATCTCTGATTGTCAACTTCAACTGACAAGCTGTAGAGTTATCACTATGTCTCATAGGGCCTGGCATGTGTGAATTTCCATTACCATCTATGCCACTCTCCCCCTTCTCAGTATGCTAGATATGGTGACCTAACAAACAATGCTCTTCTGCGAGTGGTAAGCATCTTTTGGCGACTGCCTTCATCACGATTACCTGCACCTAAGTAAAATGAAATCTGGAATCATTTTATGACTTAGGATGCAGAACTCACTGCGTTCTCCTCAGTATCATTTGGTAGTGTCCAGTGACACTGAAAGATCTCGCCCAGAATGGGGTTGTATGGCTTTTTGGCAACTGATCCTTTCCTTCCTGCGTGAAAGGCTGAGAGGTACCATTTCACAACCTGAACCATTCGCTCTCGAGGCTCCTTCTGGTCACTGATGCTGAAAGACAGAAAGGCGCAATTTAATGTTCAGCTTCCTTGCAGGGTACAAGCTAATGCAGCACCCGCCCCTCTCCCCGCATGGTCCATTCTGAGCCAAACTGAGAGGTCTACGGATCCAGGACCAGGTATTATCTCCAGTTTCTTTTTAAAACCAGGGTCTAATACACACAACTAAATGCATGCATCTTAGTGTCTGAGGAATGTGACAAATGCATATATCCATTTAATTAGCACCCAGTCAGGAAGGTTCCCCTTTCTAAACAATCACCACCTCTCACACTGAGGCAAACATCACTTCCACTTCCTAGTACCATGGATCAGTTCTGTTTCAGAAATCCGTAAGTACATTAATTGCCAAATACTTGATTTTCCCTATCTATGTAATCACTTCTAATTTAATTTTTAATTTATTTTTTAAATAATTCCCATTATTTAAATTTATTAGGACTTCTCAGTATATGGTCGGTCTTGATGAACATTCCATGTGCACTTGGAAGACTATGTGTTACACAACTCTTGGGCACTATTTAGAAACATCAACTGGGTCAAGTTGATTAATACTGCTGTCTGAATCTACTATAGACTTCCTACAGGCGTCAGGAAGGGAAGTGAGGGGCTACCTGGTCAGTTAGTTCCCAAGGGAGGAATTTGTAGACTTGTAAATTTCTCACTTTAGTCAGTTTTTGCTGCATGTATTCTGAAGGTGTGTTATTAGTAACATACCCATTTAGGAGTATAATTTATTTTTGATAAACTGACCCTTTATCATTATAAAATATCTCTATTTGTCCCTGGAAGTATGTCTTATCTTGAAAGTCTCCTTTGTCAAATACTAATATAGTTTTGTCAGTTTTGTTATGCTTGGTATTTTGCATGTTTGCCCATTCTGTTACTTTTAACCCATCAGTGTCTTGTCTTCACTTCACTTCACTTCTCCCTTTCAAACAGCACACACAGATGTATCTTGCTTTTTTATACAGCCTGACAAGTGCTGTTCTCTTAAGTGCTATGAGTATTACATATATTTACATGCAGTAACTGCTGATATAATTAGGTATAATTCTACCACCCTGATACTTGTTTCCTGCAGGTTCCCTTTCTTCCTTATTCCATTTATTTCTCCTTTCTTGGAATTAACCAATTCTAATATTTTTAGTATTCTATTCTATTTTATCTTATTTTTTTAAGCTATCCTTTTATATTACAAAGTGGTTCATCTAAGGGCCTCAAAGTTTAAATCCTCACATATAAAGGCTCCTTTTTTTTTTTTTTCTTTTTGACAGGCAGAGTGGACAGTGAGAGACAGAGAGAAAGGTCTTCCTTTTTCCATTGGTTCATCCCCCAAATGGCTGCTGCAGCCGGCGCACTGCACTGATCCAATGGCAGGAGCCAGGTGCTTCTCCTGGTCTCCCATGAGGGTACAGGGCCCAAGCACTTGGGCCATCCTCCACTGCACTCCCGGGCCACAGCAGAGAGCTGGCCTGGAAGAGGGGCAACCAGGACAGAATCCGGCGCCCCGACCGGGACTAGAACCCGGTGTGCCGGTGCCGCTAGGCGGAGGATTAGCCTAGTGAGCCTTGGCGCCGGCCAAAGGCTCCTCTTAACCCTCCAATTTGTACCTAATGAACAACTGGTACTTTCCATTTTCATTTACACATGTAACAGATAAATGTTTACATTTTATTAATTATCTATTAACTTAAACACACTGCCATATTTATTTGAATTTCTCCCTTTTGGGAACTGGTTCTCTTAAATCTTCAGTAAGAAGGAAATAGATATGTATCTATGTACATCAATGTCAGCAAATGTGCCCTCCCATTTTGAAAGTTCAATGATTGTTTTCTGGCTTTAGTAAACTACAGTCCAAGGCCAAGGAATGTAACCAAAGAAGATGGATTAGAACACCTCCCAATACAAAGAAAAATTTCTGGTTACCAGTGAAAAGCAATGTGAACTTGCCTCTTTGTAAGTCAACCCCACCTTTACATTATTTCTCTCCCATGTTCATATATCTAATACTGCAAGCTGTGTATTTAAAATTTATGAGCCATAGGGCCAATGCTGTAGCACAGTGGGTTAAAGTCCTGGCCTGTAGCACCGGCATCCTGTATGGGACCCGGTTCTAGTCCCAGTTGCTTCATTTCCAATCCAGCTCCCTGCTAATGCACATGGGAAAGCAGCAGAGGATAGCCCAAATCCTTGGGCCCCTGCACCCACGTAGGAGACCCAGAAGAAGATCCTAGCTTTAGACAGGCTAAGCTCTGGCCATTGTGGCCATTTAGGGGAGTGAACCAGTGATGGAACTTTCTCTCTGTCTGTCTCTACCTCTCTCTATAACTCTTTCAAATAATAAAATAAATCTTTAAAAAAATTTATGAGGTGCTGGCGCTGTGGCATAGCGGGTACAGCCACCACCAGCAAAGCTGGCATCCCATATGGGCACCGGTTCTAGTTCTAGCTGCTCCACTTCCGATCCAGCTCTCTACTATGACCTGGGAAAGCAGTGAAAGATGGCCCCAGTCCTTGGGAGACTTGGCTCCTGGCTTCGGATCGGTGCAACTCTGGCCATTGTGGACAATTGGGGAGTGAACCAGCAAATGGAAAACCTCTCTCTCTCTCTCTCTCTCTCTCTCTCTCTACTTCTCCTTCTCTCTCTGTGTAACACTGACTTTCAAATAAATAAATAAAATCTATTAAAAAAATTTATGAGTCAGTCCATAATGTGACACAAGGCTGTAAGCTCTTCAAGGACACACTGAGATCTTTGTCTAGCTCACAACAAAATGCTTGGCAAACAGGTACATTGGATAGGTTTGCTGAACTCAGTTAACTTAGCAGGATACAGTGTAAATAATGAACAGTGGTTATCAATGCCTGCATCAAATAAGCCCATTTCCTTCACTAGCTATTTATGAGCTCTGAAGAATTTTTAAAGTGTTAAATTTGGTTGCCTAACAGCTTCACCACCATATAACCTAAGAGAAGAGCTACGTATTCAGTGCCACTTTTTCACAGAAATGTTTGAAAGGGTAAGAAGAAATCCACCTATCCTGCAAAGGCAGAAAGCTACTGAGTAATAATTTCTTAAAAAATTGGAAACTTGTTGTGTTCAAATACCTCACAAATAGGTCCGGATGTGCAAAAAAGTCCGCATACATTTCTAAAAGAGATCTTCTTTCAAGAATGAATGTTGGAAGAACTACCTGAAAAACACACACATTTGACCATTGAGGATTAAATTCTACAAGAAATAAACGTTGTGGAACTGCTCAAAAAAGTTCATTCCAACCATGGTACTACCACCCACCATGTACTGCCCGGGCATGCCTCTAGAAACTACTACTGCAAACTGTTCTGACTTAGAAATGCCCGTTAAAATTAACCTGCAGCAGATGAAAGACAGACAAGGGGCTGGGAATGTGCAAATGTTACTTGCTCTGTGCAAACTCCCTTTTCATACTGAGTATAACAAAAACAATAACTCAGTAGCAACCCTTGGATACCATCTATCTGCTGGAACACTACGTACATAATCTTATAAAATTAGACAACAGCTTGATATGAAGGAATTATTATCCCTATTTTACAGTGGAACATTTTCCTCAGCACTTCATTATTGTGAAATTCAAAATCTGGCCTGTGTGACTTCAGGGGGATCTGTGCGCTCTCCCTGCTGCTGCAGCCTCTACCACCAGTACACAGGTGTCACAGGACACTGTTTCATTTCAGAATTTGTATCTTCAAATAGAATGCAAGGGCCAACTTTTACTCACACTTGTACTCTAAGCTTAAGTTTCTAAATAAAGAACTAAGAGAAAAGAAATGAATAAAGACTAAGAATCAACAAATTCTTTCTCTCAGGGGCTGAGCCCACAAAGTTTTATGTTTAGGAGCTGGGAATGTGGCAGAGGAAAGTGAAGAAAGAAAGGAAATGATAATAATGGGGAACAAAATGAGAAACATGATTAACCATCAAAAAAAAAAAAGGGACTAATTTCATTGGGGAAATGGAATGGAACAAGAATTTTTGAAATGTCTACCTCATGGAGGTGGCACATCATAGCAAGCAAAAAAACTATCCTTCAAACTTAGTAATTACTGGGGCCGGTGCTGTGGCAAAGAGGGTAAAGCCGCCGCCTGCAGTGCTGGCACCCCATATGGGTACCGGTTCAAGACCTAGCTGCTCCACTTCCAATCCAGCTCTCTGCTATGGCTTTGGAGGGCAGTGGAAGATGGCCCAAGTCCTTGGGCCCCTGCACCTGTGTGGGAAGACCCGGAGGAAGCCCTGGCTCCTGGTTTCGGATCGGCCCAGCTCCGGCCGTTGCGGCCAATTGGGGAGTGAACCAGTGGATTGGAAGACCTCTCTCTCTCTCTCTCTCTCTCTCTGCCTTTCCTTCTCTCTCTGTGTAACTCTTTCAAATAAATAAATAAATCTAAAAAATAAAATAAAATAAACTTAGTAATTACTACATAGTCACCACATTTAAGATACAGGGTTAAAAGCCATGATGGAAGCAAAAGTAAGTATATCGGAATCATACTTACATAATTACAGTTTAGGTACAAGGTGACAAATATCATACAAGACATGTTCAGAGTGCCCTTGACGTTCAGCTGAGGGAAAAAATCATGCAATGTGAAGGGGACCAGAATGAGGGCAGAGCTGGCGAACAACTCACTGAGGTGGCATCACAGAAAAGCCTCACAGAAGAGTAAGGCTACAACAGACACAAGTGGGGACAACAGAACAAGACATGGAAATATAAAAAGAAATAAAAAAGGCAAAGACAAGAAATGGGGTGCAGCAGAGGTTAACCACGGAAGCAGCAGGCAGGTGCAGAGGAGTACAGAAGGGGGCTAGCAGCAGGGAGGGGAGCTAGGCTTTACTGCTCAGAACTGTTCAGACGCCAGCATTGATGTTTCAAGTACGTTTACATATGAGGGTGCTTCAAAGGATAAGTGGGAAATTCAATTAAAAGATTAAAAGACGTTTATTTTGATACAAAACTGAAATCCAGGCATAGTTTTTTTCATAATATACATCTTCCAAGAGCATCTGGAAGACCTCTTATCTGCATGGATTTAAAAATTTATACTAAAATTAGCGTTTTTTAAAATTTATTTTTATTTTTTGACAGGCAGAGTGGACAGTGAGAGAGAGAGAGAGAGAGAGAGAGAGAGAAAGGTCTTCCTTTGCCGTTGGTTCACCCTCCAATGGCTGCCGCGGCCGGCGCACTGCGCTGATCCGATGGCAGGAGCCAGGTGCTTCTCCTGGTCTCCCATGGGGTGCAGGGCCCAAGCACTTGGGCCATCCTCCACTGCACTCCCTGGCCACAGCAGAGAGCTGGCCTGGAAGAGGGGCAACCGGGACAGAATCCGGCGCCCCAACCGGGACTAGAACCCGGGGTGCCGGCGCCGCAAGGCGGAGGATTAGCCTAGTGAGCTGCGGCGCCAGCCCACTAAAATTAGCTTTTAATTACATTTTCCACTAACTTTTTGAAGTCTATAAGTTTCTACTCTAAATATGGTTGGATGGGCAGATAGACTTTATATACTGACTTAGTACAATTTCTTACTATTTAGGAAAACTTAGAAAAAGATTACTCCACTAGAAAAAGGGACAAAGAAATTGAAGAAATAATTCAGAAGATAAAAAAGAAACATAACATAAAAAAGAAGCCTGAATTCACTTATAATCAAAGAAAAAAATCTTTTCCTCCTACTTAAAAATTTGTTTGAGAACCCTCATTGCGTGGATCTTCAACACCTCCAGCATGCTGATGCACAGCATGTCAACCTGCTGGGACAATGATAAAAAGGAAGTTGGGCTTGGTCTCCTCCAGCCAAGGTTCAGGTGTTTGTTTTGCCATTTCATAGCTATGATGAGGCCCTGGACAATTAACTCTGCTTCTCTAAGTTCCTGTAAAAGGAAGATAATTAAATGCCAGGCTTATACCTTAGGATTGTTTTGAAGACTACATAAAGCAAATGGGTATGACTTTGTAGTAGCTCTACAAACTGAAAAGTATTTGGAAAATGAATGTGTTTTGCAAGTATTTTAAGGAAGAAGAGATTTTCTGGAATAGAGTAAGATACAAATTTAAGGCATTATTGAAATACTATTTTGGAAAGTGCAAAAGAAATCAAGATTTCAAAATTTGCTGGTGATCATGGACATTTGTTCATGTCTATAAAGATTATTAAGATGGCTAATTTTCAGTATATTAAGTAAAAAGTAATTATTATAATATCATTCATAATACTCATATAGTAAGATTTTGGTGACTACAGGTTCAAATATGGATAATGTGGCACAGAAAATTATGTGAGGCCAGAATTAAAACCTGATTGGGAGAGACACTTCTGATTGTCTACCTAGATGTCTAATCCACCCCTAGAGAATTCTGACTCCGCTCAGGTTCAGGCTATGTATCTGTTGCCATGACCCTCCCCGCTCAGTCTCAAGAAGCGAATATGGATTAATCTAAACCAGTCATTTAACTTCTCTTGCCAATGACTAGTTTAGGTATGGACACATGCTTGGCTCCAGCCAATGAGAGAAGAAAGGAAGTATAATGATCCACTTCTGAAAACAAATGTCCTTCCTGGCAAGGACAGGAAGACCAGCTGTTATGCAATCTAATAATTTATGAAGCAATTCTTGGGACAACCTTCTGCAAATACTCTCCTACCTAGTATATCCCTGATAAGTATGTTGGGCTCCACAAATTAATGTTATCTTTGTCCTTCTCTTTTCACTTAGATTAGGAATAAAAGATTTTTTTATAGGCACTTATTAGAAGGCATTATGGATTACTCTTTTTTCTTAATGGTCCTCTATTTCAAAACCAAAATGAAGTCCAATACTGACAAGGATTATAGTACTAGAGTTGATTTCCAAACCTGGGTAGAATAGTAATCCAATCAATATGAAAGCTACTACAGCCTAAATCCTTGAGACAAGGGCAACAGTGGAAAGATTATAGCTTTTTAAATCACAGGTCAGAGTAGAATCTCAGTTTTGCCACTTATTATGATTCAGTCAACTTACTTAACCCCTGCGAGTTCACTTGACAAGAACAGTGCTATGAGGACAACGAAGAGAAAGTATGAGGCTTCTAGAGTGACGAGGGCAGACAGCTTTCTAAATAAGCTCAGCACTCTATTCAATGCTCTGAGTTTCAATTCAAATTTAGGGGGCCGGCGCCATGGTGTAGCGGGTTAAGCTGCCGCCTGCAGCACCAGCATCCCATATGAGTATGAGTTCGAATCATAGCTGCTCCACTTCTGATCCAGTTCCCTGTTGATAGCCTAGGAAAGCAGCAGAGGGTGGCCCAAGTGCTTCGGCCCCTGAACCCACATGGGAGACCCAGAGGAGGCTCCTGGCTTTGGATCACATCAGCTCCAGTCCGTGTGGCCATTTGGGGAGTGAACCAGCATATGAAAGATCTCATTCTCTCTTTGTCTCTTTCTTGCTCTGTAACTCTGTCTTTCAAATAAATAAATCTTTTTTAAATTTTAAATTTAAATTTTTTAAAAATTCAAATGCAGTTATATTACTCATTATGAGTTATACAATTTTACACTGATGGCTCTTCCAATCCTTTTTTTTTTGTTAAAGATTTATTTATTTATTTGAAAAGCTGAGCTACTAGAGAAAGAGAGAGAGAGGTCTTCTATCTGCTGGTTCACTCCCTAAATGGCCACAACGGCCGGAGCTGGGCCAACCTGAAGCCAGGAGCCAGGAGCTTCTTCCAGGCCTCCCTCATCAGTTCAGGGGCCTAAGGGCTTAAGCCATCTTCTACTGCTTTCTCAGGCTGTAGCAGAGAGCTGGATCAGGCGCAGAGCAGCCGGGACTTGAACCAATGTCCACATGGGTTGCTGGTGAGACAGGCAGTAGCTCCACTCACTCCGCCACGGTACCGGCTCCCTCTTTCAATCCTTACAACCCTGTGTTCATGGATAATTTGTATTGTGAAAAATCTATGTGTGGATTTCAAAATTTTTCAGACCAAAACACTTATTTTTAATTCCATTTTTCCATGGACCTTTGAAGCCCCCTCATACGTCCATTTTGAATATAAAGAACTTGAAGATCACAGAGTAAGGGACTTGGCTCAGGGTCCCATTAGTTAGATGATAGCAGAGAGGTAGGTTGTAAACACAGCTCTTCTGACCCCAAGACCAAAGCTCTGTTCATTTTGATTCTGTGCTCACAATATTGTTTCAAGTTTTGCCCAAACTACTAACTAATCCATCTCCTAACTATTCTTCATGTGCCCCAAATACAATCCAAATGTTAATCCATACAACACATACAAACTACTCTTTTCGAAATTATTTTAGTTCCGTTTATTTAATTCCTTTATAAACAAACTTTAGCTTACTTGTCTACAAATATATTAAAAAACAGTAAGACATAAGTATAAAAGGAAGTTACGTCACCTTTTCTGCATTTGCAGGCACAATCACCACACACACACACACACACACACTTACATCAAATGCCAAATTAGATTCTTACCTTAGTTAGATCCATTCCGAGCCTAACCTGTGACAAGAGGTGCATGATAACACTCTTGTGCTCCTCCACTGACCCTGCCTCTCCGTCATCATCTCTATCGTCATGCGAATCAAAAAGGTCTAAAATAAAACACATCTTCTTAGGCTGGTATTTAATTGGGCCAATCTGTGCTGCTACCAGTATTATAAATGTTTCTTACAAAAAGAAAAATTCTCAAAGGTCATTACCTGCATCACTTGTTCCATTAGACATGGAGGAATTAAGTGATTCTGTGGTATCTGGACGCTTCATACTATTTCCTGAGCTGCTGTGTGTCAAGACAGAGGCAGATCCAGAAGAACTAAAAACAAAAACATGAACATTAATCACCATCTTCAGCTAAGGAATGCATTTAGGATCATAGACATCAATTTACAAAACTTCTTAAAACCAATAATACAAGTAGGTGACAGAAACGGACTAGAGTCTTACAGTCTGCTGGTTACTGACATATGTAAGTGCTTTCAACCAACTCCCTGTCACCCCCATTCCAAGACTAGAAATAAAAGTCTCTCATCTTAAACTGCCTGAATAGTGTTTAGCCAAGCCATGCTGAAACGCTAGCATAGATACTTTTAAAAATTTACTGACATTTTTACCTCTGCATACAAGTTTAAAATGAGTTCATTTTCTGATTTTGTTGCCTTGTATAAACACACCTATGAAAAAATTTTTCACAACAACTTCTAGAACAGTCTTACTAAGTGCTAGAGCATATCAGGTCTACAATTTTTGAGATCCTTTGATAAAAGCCCACATCAATAATAACACTATTCCCAGTTATTTAAAAAGTTTCCTTGAAAACTACAAAATGTATAAAATCCTATTGCTTTTTCATTTTAGTGATAGAGTTACAGACAGTGAGAAGGAGACAGACAGAAAGGTCTTCCATCCACTGGTTTGTTCCCCAAACGGCCACAATGGTTGGAGCCAGGAGCCAGGATCTTCTTCTGGGTGTCCCATGCAGATGCAGGGGCTGGCCCAAGTGCTCAGGCCATTGTCTACTGCTTTCCCAGGCCACAGCAGAGAGCTGGACTGGAAGAGGAGCAGCCAGGACTAGAACCAATGCACATATGGTATACTGGCCACCACAGGTCGCAGATTAACCTATGGCACTACAGCACCAGCTCCAAATCCTATTACTTTTTTTTTTTTTTTAAAGATTTTTATTTATTTATTTGAGAGGTAGAGCTACAGATAGTGAGAGGGAGAGACAGAGAGAAAGGTCTTCCTTCCGCTGGTTCACTCCTCAGATGGCCGCAATGTCCAAAGCTGCGCCGATCCAAAGCCAAGAGCCAGGAGCTTCTTCCTGGTCTCTCACATGGGTGCAGGGGCCTACTACTTTCCCAGGCCATAGCTGAGAGCTGGATTGGAAGAGGAGCAGCTGAGACTAGAACCGGTGCCCATATGGGATGCCGGCGCCGCAGGCAGAGGATTAACCTACCGTGCCACGGCGCCAGCACTCCTACTACTTTTTTTTTTTTTTTGACAGGCAGAGTGGACAGTGAGAGAGACAGAGAGAAAGGTCTTCCTTTGCTGTTGGTTCACCCTCCAATGGCTGCTGCGCTGCGGCCGGCGCACCGCACTGATCCGAAGGCAGGAGCCAGGTGCTTCTCCTGGTCTCCCATGGGGTGCAGGGCCCAAGCACTTGGGCCATCCCCCATTGCCTTCCCGGGCCACAGCAGAGAGCTGGACTGGAAGAGGGGCAACCGGGACAGAATCTGGAGCCCCAACTGGAACTAGAACCCGGGGTGCCGGTGCTGCAGGTGTAGGATTAGCCTATTGAGCCGTGGCGCCAGCCCCTATTACTTTTTAAAAAAGATTTATTTATATTTATTTGAAATGCAGAGTTGGGGGGCAGGGGACTTCTACCTGCTGATTCACTCTCCAAATGGCTGCGACAGCCAGGGCTGGGCCAGGCTGAAGACAGGAGCCAGAAGCTTCTTCCAGGTCTTCCACATAGATGCAGAGGCTCAAGCCCTTGGGCCATCCTCTGCTGCTTTCCCTGGAGCATTAGCAGGGAGCTGGGTCACAAGTGGAGCAGCTGGGCCTCAAACAGGTGCCCATATGTGATGTGGCAGATTAACCCACTATGCCATGAGGCTGGCCCCAAAATCATATTACTTTTACAAGCAAATTTATTATAACTGTTAACAGGGTCTAAAAAAAAGTTGCTCTATTATATTACTATATCTGTGATCATAACTTACTAAGGTAAAGATTTCTATAAAAATGAGAGGATAATCAGAAAGACAGAGCTTAATTATTCACTGTAAAACTACAAACCAAATTTCTCACATATAGTTATCTATGAGATGCAATCATCAGTCTTATTACAAAATTACAGGCATGAAACCTACTTTCAACATAGCTTGCCCTTGGTACTTACCTTCATTTGATGTTTTACAGCAAATTTGATTTTATAGAGCAGTTTTTGGTTCATAGCAAAAATGAGCAGAAAGGTGAGTCTCAGTTACTGCCTGTGCCATCTTCCCCATCAAACTGTGTACCCAGTGGTATGTTCGTTACAATCGACGAGCCTATACCAGCACATTGGTATCACCCGAAGTCCACAGTTCACATTAGGGTTCACTCTTGGTACTGTGAATTCTCTGGGCTTTGATGGACGTAGGACAACATATATATGCCACTGTAGACTCATACGCATAGTTTCATCACGCATAAAGTCCTCTGGCTTTGCTTGTGTTAGAATTCATTATGGGGGTCACCATTGTGGTATAGCGAGTAAAGCCACCACCTGCGGTGTTGGCACCCTATATGGGTGCCAGTTAAGAGTCCTGGCTGCTCCACTTCCTATCCATCTCTCTACTATGGCCTGGAATTGCAGTAGAAGATGGACTTGTGCCCGGAGCAGAGACCCAGAAGAAGCTCCTGGCTCCTGCCTTTGGATCAGCACAGCTCCAACCATTGCAGCCATTTGAGGGGGAACCAACGGATGGAAGACCTCTGTCTTTCTCTCTCCCTCTGCCTTTCTGTAACTCTGCCTTTCCAATAACTACATACATATTTTTTAAAAATTCATTATGTATTCTAATATAGACTAGTTTGCCCTGGTTACTTACCTTCTTTTGACCTATTTTTCAAAACCCTTAGGTAACTAAATATTGCTTCACTGATAATTTAGTAGTATACATTACAGTGCATTGTAATTAATGTCTATCTCACTAGTTTTAAGGGGACAAAATAGGAGCAAAAAAACTTATGTAAGAGAAATCAAATTATCAATAAAAGAACTACATGAAAATTATCTTCAAAATGTTTTGTGGCACTGTGACACATCATCAGTAGAGTCAATCTCTGAAATCATCTGACCTAAAACCCCAAATCTTAAAAAATGTAAATCTTTAGATGCAATTCCTCAGATCTTTTTATGCTATGCTTTTTCTCCTTACCCATGGTTAGAAACCATGGCTGGGGGTCGGCGCCGTGGCTCACTTGGTTAATCCTCCACCTGCAGCACTGGCATCCCATATGGGTACCAGTTCTAGTCCCGGTTGCTCCTCTTCCAGTCCAGCTCTCTGCTGTGGCCCAGGAAGGCAGTGGAGGATGGCCCAAGTGCTTGGGCCCCTGCACTTGAATGGGAGACCAGGAGGAAGCACCTGGCTCCTGTCTTTGGATCAGTACAGCACCGACCATAGCGGCCATTTGGGGAGTGAACCAACAGAAGGAAGACCTTTTCCTCTGTTTCTCTCTTTGTCTGTAACTCTGTCAAAGAAATTAAAAAAAAAGAAAGAAAGAAAGAAACCAACCAACCAACCATGGCTGGGCAGAGTGAAACAATGTTCAAAAAGTCAGGAGGCGGTGTGACACAGTAGGTTAAGCTGCCTCCTGCAATGGTAGCATTCCATATGAACTCCAGTTTGAGTTCCAGCTGTTCCACTTCTGATTCAGATTCTTGCTAATGTACCTGGGAAAGCAGTGGAAGGATGGGCCCCTGTACCCATGTGGGAGACCCAGATGGAGCTCCAGGCTCCTGGCTTCATCCAGGACCAGCCCTGGCTGACATGGCCATTTTGGGGGTGAACTAGCCATTCCATAATTTACCCCATTCAGGACAAAGGATTTAAAAAATATAGTTGGCCGGCACTGCGGCTCACTAGGCTAATCCTCCGCCTGCGGCGCCGGCACACCAGGTTCTAGTCCCGGTTGGGGCGCCGGATTCTGTCCCAGTTGCCCCTCTTCCAGGCCAGCTCTCTGCTGTGGCCAGGGAGTGCAGTGGAGAATGGCCCAAGTCCTTGGGCACTGCACCCCATGGGAGACCAGGAGAAGCACCTGGCTCCTGCCTTCGGATCAGTGCGGTGCACCGGCCACAGCACACCGGCCGCAGCGGCCAATGGAGGGTGAACCAACGGCAAAGGAAGACCTTTCTCTCTGTCTCTCTCTCTCACTGTCCACTCTGCCTGTCAAAAAATAAAATAAATAAATAAATAACTAAAAATAAAAAATACAGTTAAAGACAGTAACAACATATATGCCTACAGGGAAATTTTCAATTTTCACTTGGCTAACTTACCTAGAATTTAAGCATAAAGTTAATAAAGTACAATAAAAAATGTAAAGCTCTGAACTTACAGTAACAATTTATTACACATCTAATATATGCCCACACTGTGAGAGGTTACCTTGGCAAGGTACAGACCTTCCCAGCCCCTGGTTTAAAGCAACAGCTACTACATGGAGTAAGAGATTATTTCTATTTAAATAAGTATTGATCCTTCAAAATTCAACCTTTTACTTTGCAATTTTCTCTTAAATGTTTGCTTTCTTTGAATTCTATCAGGAAAATTTTTCTGCTTTCCCAGACACATTAGCAGGGAGCTGGATGGGAAGTGGAACAGCTGGGACTCAAATTGGCACCCATACGGGATGCTGGCACAGCAGGCAGCAGCTTAACCCACTATGCCACAGCGCAAGCCCTCATATATTATTTAAATATTCATAATAATCCCTTTAATAATCATAATAATAATAGCTCAAACTATTATGATCCTCATTTTACAAATAAGGAAACTGAGCACTACATAGGTTAAATAATTTGACCAGGATCACACAATTTTGAAGCAAAATAGTTTTAGAATCCACTCTTCCTGAGATTTCAGAATCCAAAGTCTTAACCATAACAGCCTGTGTTTCATTATAGCTGAAAATACTGTGATTAGCTAATGAGGAAATAAATGCCAGTTACCCTCTTCTGTACAATGGTACACACTTGACTTTCTTATGATGGTATAAATCAGGTCAAATACTTCCTAACAATGGAAAAAATACCTATTATCAAGATCTGTCAAAATCTACCTGCAGCTCATTACAATGTATGAACTTTCTCTCATTCCCAATGCTATAACCTTAGCTCAGGTCATCTACCTTTTTCAGTTTACTACCAGGTTTTGGTGTCTGGTCTCCCTACCTATAATCCAGCCCCTAATGCATTCAATTGTATTCAATTTAGGCAGGTCTATTTTTCTAAAAATACAGCCCTGATCAGCAACTGCCCATTACTCACGAGACAATTCACTCAGTTTACAGCAACCTGAATGGATTAAGACATTTTTTAAAAAAAATTTTATTTACTTATTTATTTAGTTGTGAAACAGAGTTACAGAGAGAGAGAGAAGTAGAGAAAGGTCTTCCATCTGCTAGTTCACTCCCCAGATGGCTACAACAGTTGAAGCTGGGTCAATCTGAAGCCAGGAACCAGGAGCTTCTTCAGGCTCTCCCATGCGGGTGCAGGGGCCCAAGCACTTGGGCCATCTTTCACTACTTTCCCAGGCCATAAGCAGAGAGCTAGATTGGAGGAGGAGCAGCCAGGACACAAACCAGTGCCCATATGGGACGCCGGTGCTGCAGGTGGAGGCTTAGCTTACTATGCCACAGCGATGGCCTGGATTAAGATACTTCAAATATATAGCACTAGACTATAAATGTCTCTTGTTTCCCAAACAGACTGTACATTCTTTGAGGGCAAGAACTTGTTCTTTTTAACTACTGTACCATTCTTCTAACTAGCACCATACTAGGCTTATAGGTGTGAGTATCTCTCTTGTAATATAGAAACAAGAGAGTAACATTTTATTTGTATAATATTTTGTAGCTTATTCATCATCTTTGGACCCTCTCCCAGTGTTGGTATTTTAGAAATGTCCAGAGAGTTGCCTTTATAAGATTTTGTTGGAAAATGAAATGAATATTTTGCAAGAAGAAGGTTAATTTAAATAAGAGTGTAATGGTTTGCAAAAAAAAAAAAAAAAAGTGATGTACAGATTAAAATATTAACCTGGAAAAAAAAAAAAAAAGAAATGTCCAGAGAGTTCAACTAACAACACTGGAACATTACTATGGCTGATGCTATCTATTCAATTTGGAATTAGGAGTAAAATCAGAACTTTTCAACAGAACTTTCTTTGCTTAATAAGCCAATTAAAAATAAGTTGTCCTTTTTACTGTTCCCCAAAAAAAAACTTACAAGGCAAATCTGTCATTAACATAATCTTAAAATCAAATTATACTTTTAAAAATCAGCAGAGTTGTTTAAATACATACTTTATTCATCCACTTACTCTATCAAGCGCTTTGGGGATGAGCCACTTTGGTGGAATTCGTCAGCATCATAGAATTCATCTTCACTGCTAGAATAAGAGAACTCTGGGACTGTATTTGGAGACAAGTTGACATGGCTTGGAGAAGTGAGACTGCTACTAGGTGGTGAATGCCCACTACCTAGGAAGTGACAAAGTTTTTAATCAGTGAAAAGTGTTGGCAATAGCAGAGGAGAAATCAGGCAGAGAAGAGTCAAAGCAGACCTTTAGGAAATCAAGAAAAAGTAAGTTGGTAGAAGTCTCTATACGATTTGTAAGGAAACTCAACATTTAAATTATACATACACAAAAAAGGCACATCACGTTACAGAATGGGGATAGAGCCTTTTAAATAAATGAAAAAATGTCACACTCCCCTTCTAAATTAGAGAAAAACTTCTGAGTATGTAAGCTTTTGTTTGTAAGTCCCTTAACAGACACCAGAACCAAAAGAAAGCCCAGGCTCTTATATAATACTGTAATCTAGACATCTAAAAATGTAGCAGTGAACCATGGGAATGCAAAATGCAAAGAATATAAAGACCTCACAAATGTGAAAACATTATTCAGGATATAACACTCATATCTGTCAATATTTTCCAGCAGTCACATGGAAAATGAAAAATCTCTGCACAAAGTCCTGGGCACACACCACCTAAATTTTTTTACTTCTTTTCCACCTAAGTTTCTATCAGATGTTTGGGGCTTTGGAGCAAAGATGAAAACAGAGGGCTACTATGGGAAGAATGTAGAATGGGAAAAAGACTAAGAGAGCAGCCTTAAGAAAAAAAAAAAATCTGTTCTCCCACACTTTGTTGCCAGGCTCACAAACAGTTTTAAAATAATATGAAAAGCGGCTGGCGCCGCAGCTCACTAGGCTAATCCTCTGCCTTGCGGCGCCGGCACACCAGGTTCTAGTCCCAGTCAGGGCGCCGGATTCTGTCCCAGTTGCCCCTCTTCCAGGCCAGCTCTCTGCTGTGGCCAGGGAGTGCAGTGGAGGCTGGCCCCAGTGCTTGGGCCCTGCATCCCATGGGAGACCAGGATAAGTACCTGGCTCCTGCCATCGGATCAGCGCGGTGCACCGGCCGCAGTGCACCTGCCGCGGCGGCCATTGGAGGGTGAACCAATGGCAAAGGAAGACCTTTCTCTCTGTCTCTCTCTCTCACTATCCACTCTGCCTGTCAAAAAAATAAATAAATAAATAATAAAAAATATGAAAAGTCTGTTACCTAAAAGATAATGCTTACTGTAGAAATTCTAGAGATAACTCATGCGCCAATCACATTAAAATATCTCTTTCTCCTCACTAGCTTTCTTTTATAAGAATGGGGAAAAAGAGACCAGGAATTATAAATGCAATTACTCCAGATGATGGCAAAACTGCAAATATGTTTAAGAATAAAATGAGTTCGAATGGGAACTGCAAACAAAAGAACTGAGATATAGAGATCCAACAACATGATAGGTTAACTGATCTTTTTTTCTATTATTGAAAGAGGTAAGGGAAAGAAAGGTGGAGAAAATATAGTTTGAAAAGTAAAACAACATAAATCACACACTAAATTATTTTTATTTCTTTATATGGAGATGGGGAACAGAAAAACACAGACAAAACTCCTATCTGCTGATTCATTTCCCAAATGCCTACATCAACCAGAACAGAGCCAGGCCTAAGTTGGGAGTAAGGAACTCGACCTGGATATCCCAAGTGTGTGGTAGGGAGCCAAGTACTTAAGTTATCACCTGATGCCTCACATTAGCAGGAAGCTGGAATTGGGGCAGGGCCATGACTCAAACTCACATGAATATGGATTGTACACATACCTAGGTCTAACATCTGTCTTGCTTACTTAGAATGTTTTTTTTTTTTTAAAGAATTACACAGAAAGATAGATAAAGAGAGATAGAGACGGGGTTGGGGGGAGGGGGAGAGAGAGAGAGACTTCCATCCTCTGGTTCACTCCTCAAAGGGCCACAATAGTTGGAGTTGAAGTGATTTGAAGCCAGGAGCCAGGCTTCTTCCAGGTCTCCCACGTGGCTGCAGGGGCCCAAAGACTTGGACCATCCTTCACTGCTTTCCCAGGTGCATTAGCAGAGGGCTGTATTAGAAGTGGAGCAGCTGGGACATGAACCAGCACCCATAAGGGATGCTGGTGCTGCAACCCAGAGTTTTAACCCACTGTACCACAGCGCTGGCCCCACTTACTTAGTTGTTTTTTTTTTTTTTTTTTTTTTGGTTTTTGTTTGTTTGTTTTTTGACAGACAGAGTGGACAGTGAGAGAGAGAGAGAGGGAGACAGAGAGAGAAAGGTCTTCCTTTGCCGTTGGTTCACCCTCCAATGGCCGCCGCAGCCGGTGCGCTGTGGCCGGCGCACTGCGCTGATCCAATGGCAGGAGCCAGGTGCTTCTCCTGGTCTCCCATGGGGTGCAGGGCCCAAGCACTGGGGCCATCCTCCACTGCACTCCCGGGCCATAGCAGAGAGCTGGCCTGGAAGAGGGGCAACTGGGACAGAATCTGGCGCCCCGACCGAGACTAGAACCCAGTGTGTTGGCACCACTAGGTGGAGGATTAGCCTGTTGAGCTGCGGCGCCAGCCCCCACTTACTTAGTTTTAAAAATTTCTTTAAATCTGCTATTCTTTAAATCTGAATTTTGAAATATCTCCTGAAATAATTTCCAGAAAATACTTTATCTTTTGGAAATAATTTATATTAAAATTAATATACACAATGAAGAGCCCATCACTATTTAGTTTATAACTATCTTTTTAAAGATTTATTTATTTGAAAGGCAGAGTTAAAGAGAGAGAGGGAGAGAGACAGAGATTATTTTCCATCTAATGGTTCACTCCCTAAATGGCTGTGACGGCCAGGACCAGGTCAGGCTGAAGCAGGAACTAGGAGCCAGAAGCTTCTTCCGAGTCTCCCATGTGGGTGCAGGGGCCCAAGCACTTAGGCCATTTTCCATTGCTTTCCCAGGCACATTAGCAGGGAGCTGGATTGGAACTGGAGTAACTGGAATTCAAACTGGTGACCATATGGAATGCTGGTACTGCGAGCGGCAGCTTAACCCACTACATCATAGCACCAGCTCCTGTAACTGGCCCCTTATATATTTTTAAGTACATACATTTTAGCTGTTTCAAAGTTCTGACACAATCCTACTTCATAGAAAACAAACAGGAAGGGAGAGGTTAGAGGATAAGACATATCCACATCAGAGTGCTTGAGTTCAACTTCTGACTCCTGTGCCTAATTCCACATCCTGCTATTGAAGACACTGGAAAGCAATGGTGATGCCTCAAGTAGTTGGATTCCTGCCACATGTGTGGGAGACCTGGATTGTACTTCCAGCTCGTGGCTATGCCCTTGCCTCATACTGGCAACTTAGGCCATCTGGGGAGTAAATCAGTGGGTCAGAGTTCTCTTTCTACCTATCAAATAAAAATAAAAACAAAAACAGAATAGGTTTGGCTTAACTAAGACTTTGGTTAAGATGCCCCCATTTCAGAGTGTTTAGGTTCAATATCTGCTTCAGGTTCCTGAATCCAGCTTCCTGCTAATGCAGACACTGGGAAGCAGTGGTGATGGCTGAAGTGGTTAGATTTTTGCCACCCACATGGGACATCTGGATTGAGTTCTGAACTGCTAGTTTCAACTGAAACTGGCTGTTCTGGGCATTCGTGGAGTGAACCAGCAAATAGTACTTGCTCTCCCACCTTTCAAATAGATAAATAATTTTTTAAAAATTAAGAAATTAAAACTACATGCACTATTTTTATAAAAAGATTTATTTGTTTGAAGGCAGAGTTACAGAGAAGCTGAGAGAGAGAGAGGTCTTCCATCCGCTGGTTCACTCCCCAACTGGCCTCAATGGCCAGAGCCACGCCAACCCGAAGCCAGGAGCCAACAGCTTCTTCAGAGTCTCCCATGTGGGTGCAAGGGCCCAATAACTTGGGCCATCTTCTACTACTTTCCCAGGCCATATTAGAGAGCAGGATGGGAAGTGGAGCAGCAGGGACTGGAACCTGCATCCATATGGGATGCTGACACTGCAGGTGGCAGCTTTACCCACTACGCCACAGGGTCAGCCCCATACAGGCACTATTTTTAAAATGAGTAAGATGTGACATAGGTCACGAGATACAGAAGTCTGCCAAATCATGTTAACTTCATTATTCAGACTGCTTATCATCATTTTCCCAAGAGTTTTCTTTCAAAATTCAGAAGGCATCTGTCCAAGTTCTTAAAGGAACATCATCTGTACCTTTATTAATTTAAATTTTAAAAGGGCTAAAATTACATGGTAATTTTATAATTACTACATAGTTTCGAAAAGTCTGACCCAGGTTAGAAATCTGTGGAGAGCCACCGGGGCTGCTAATCTCAAGAAGGGCTTGGGGCGGAGGTTAAAGCCCCACCCTGCACTGCCTGCACTCCATATAGGCGCCAGTTTGAGTCCTGGCTGTTCCTCTTCAGATCCAGCTCTCTGTTGTGGCCTGGGAAAGAAGTGTAAGATGGCCCAGGTTCTTAGGCCCCTGTACCTGCATGGGAGACCCAGAAAAAGCTCTTAGATCCTGGCTTTGGATCAGCTCAGCTCCGGCTGTTGCAGGCATTTGGGGAGTGAACCAGGGATGGAAGATCTTTCTCTCTCTCTCTGGCTCTACCTCCCTCTGTAACTCTGTCTTTCAAATACATAAAACACATCTTAGGAAAAAAAAAAGAACGGCTTGGTTAGGACAAGCATGTGGCACAGCAGGTTAAACTGCTGCCTGTGACCCAGCATCCCATGTGAGTGCCAGCTCAGGTTCCAGCTGTTGCACAGCTGATCCAGTTCGCTGTTAATGTGCCTGGGAAAGCAGTGGAAGATGACTTGGGTCCCTGTCAACCAACATGGGAGACCAAATGGAGTTCTAGGTCTTTGGCTTAGTCCTGCCCTAGCTGTTGTGGCCATTAGGGGAATAAAAAAAATGGATGGAAGATCTCCCTCTCTCTCTGTAACTCTCTCAAATAATTAAAATAAGTCTTAAAAAAAAAAAAAAAAAGAGTGGTTTGGCTTTTGCCTCCAGGTTTAATAGATTCAAGAGTACTAACTGCTTCCTTGAATTTGGTTCTACAGATAACTTGATGTCAATTAAAAAACATCTGCTGCTCTTCCAGGTACATTAATGGGGTAGATGAATCAGAAGTGGAGCCAGGGGTCCAGCATTGTGGTACAGAGGGTAAAGCCAACAGCAGCAATACAGGCATCCCATATGGGCCCCAGTTTGAGTCTGCTCTCATCCAGCTCCCTGCTAATGTGCCTAGGAAAGCAGTACTTTCACCCCTGTACCTACATGGAAGACCCAGAATAAGCTCCTGGCTTCAGACTGACCCAGCTCTGGCTGTTGTGTCCATTTGGGGAGTGAACCGGTGGATGGAAGATTTCTGCTTCTCCCTCTCTGCCTTTCAAATACATAAATCTTAAAAAGGAACCCAAGGGGCCGGCACTGTAGCTCACTAAGCTAATCCTCTGCCTGTGGCGCCGGCACCCCGGATTCTAGTCCAGGTTGGGGCGCCGGTTCTGTCCCGGTTGCTCTTCTTCCAGGCCAGCTCTCTGCTGTGGCCCGGGAGTGCATTGGAGGATGGCCCAGGTCCTTGGGCCCTGCACCCGCATAGGAGACCAGGAGAAGCACCTGGCTCCTGGCTTCGGATCGGCGCACACGCTGGCCGCAACACTCTGGCAGTAACGCTCCAACCGTAGTGGCCACTTGGGGGGGTGAACCAACGGAAAAAGGAAGACCTTTCTCTCTGTCTCTCTCTCTCACTGTCTAACTCTGCCTGTCAAAATTAAAAAAAAAAAAAAAAAAGGAACCCAGGAAGGGCCAGTGCTATGGCACAGTGGGCAATACTACTGCTTGTGGTGCTGGCATCCCACACGAGCACAGGTTGGAGTCCCGGCTTTTCCACTTCCAATCCAGCTCCCTGCTAATTTACCTGGGGGAAAGCAGCAGAGGATGGCCCAGGTGCTTGGGAGACCCGGAAGAAGCTTCTGGCTCCTGGCTTCAGACTGGCCCAGCTCCTGCTGTTGCAGCCATTTGGGGAGTGAACCAGCTGATGGAAGACCTCTCTCTCTCTCTAACTTTCAAATAAATAAATAAATAAATAAATCTTTAAATGAAGAAAAGATAAAGAAGTGGAGCCAGAACTCAAACCAGCAATCCAATACGGAAAGCTGAAATGGCAAGTAGCAGCTGAACCCTCTGAACTACAACACTGGTCCCACTGTTTAATTTGTTTCAAATTAAATTAGTTTAATTGGTTTTAAAACAATGAGGCTGGTGGTATGGTGTAGTAGATTAAGCCACAGCACTAGCATCCCATATTAGCACCAGTTCAAGTGCCAGCTACTCTACTTCCAATCCAGCTTCCTACTAATGTACCTAGGAAAGCAGTGGAGGATGGCCCAAATACTTGGGCCCCTGTACCCAAGTGGCAGACCTAGATGAAGCTCCTGGTTCCTGGCCCAACCCTGGCTATTGTGGTCATTTGGGGAGTAAATCAATGCCTGGAAGATCTTTCTCTCTCTCAGACTTTCAAATAAATAAGTCAATCTTAAAAAAAAAAAAAAGAGAGAGAAAGAAATCTAACTCTAACACTGATAGTATCACTGACAAGAAAAAAATAAAGACTTTTAAGTGTAAAGAAATTAAGAAAATGCATATTAAAATAAAGTTTTTTGTCTATAACACTAGTAAAAATGGGAAATACTGATAAATGTTTCCTCAAAAAAAGTGCCAAAAATAGTGTACAGAAAAATCATTGAAATATTACTTAGAATAGGAAAGTATTAGAAACACCTAAATATCTACCAGTGGAAAACAGGTAATAGCTGTCCAGGCAAACTGTGAAGAGTACTTCATAGGCCTAACTGTGTGAATATGGGAATTCTCTAATTATTCCTATTAAATGAGAAGAGCCAAAGGCAGGCATCTGGCCTAGCAGTTAAGATGCTCACATCCCACATCAGGCTCTATTCCTAACTCTGGCTTCCTGTTAGTGCAGACCCTTGGTGATGGCTCAAGTGATTAGGTCCCTATCACACATGTGGGATACACTGGCTTGAGTTTGGTTCTGGGCTTCGGCCTGGCCCAGCCCTGGCCATCATGAGAATTTGGAGGGGGAGAGGGGTTAGGGTGGCGGGGAGACAGGGGAAAGGAACTCTTTCTGTATTTCCCTCTCTGTGTGCATCTCCCAAATAAGCAACAAAAATTTAAATAACTAAGAGGAGCTAGTTACAGAAACACATGACTTCATTTAGGTTAAAACAAGAAGAACAGTACAGCTGTACAACCAAGATGTATCTGTGCTTTACAAGGATGCAAATGACAGGGATTAAAAGACTTCAGATATTGTTCTGTATACGCCTATATTGTCTGATAACTTTAAAATAGGAAAGTATCCAAGTCTCACAAGAAAAATTTTGAAAGGCAATAATTTTTAAGGTAAAAAACAAAACTTTGAAATATCTTTTTTAAATCATAATCACCATTGTTTCTGATCCAATCAACAACTTTAGCATTTTGTGCCCAGAATGCAATGGTAAAACAAAGATATCTCTGAAAGAAATAGAAAACAAATTTCTCCAACCTTTTCATTCTCCCAAGTCAGGCACAAATCTTGAATGTTAATGAGGAGTTATGAGAAGGAAACAAATGATACCATCTGTACCTGTACTGTTTGGTGTTGGAGTTTGATGATGTCCCAAAGTAGCTAATACAGGTCCAACTGGTAGGGAAGATGGACGCTGCTCTGACTTACACAACTGAGCAGGTTCTACAAGATTCGAACGTGGGAAATACGTTAGAGAAACAGTCACACACACTGTTGACTACAGTTGTTTAGGATTCTGAATCCTAAAGATCAGTAATTTTTGAAACTATAGTCTGTAAAATATAAAATGTAAAATAAATACAAAAACTATATTCTAGTCAATAAAGTTCCACATGCTCTCTGAATGTTAAGCCTGAACTCAAGAGTAATACACTACAGAGTACTAAGACATAGGGTAGGACATCAAGAAGTCAGTCATGGTAAGCCACTACCCCAGTACAATTGCTGTCAAAGCAGTCACTGTTTATGAAATATAAAATCTGAAATGGGGCACAAGACCAGGTCCTCTTCAGTCTTCTAAGAAATATTAGGCTCATTCTCTTAAGGAGGAAAAATTCACAAACCTATTTCACATGTTTGAAAAACACCGGTTCCCTTTCACATGGCAATTTCTGACATCACTATGTCATCAGTAAGAACACAGACACAGATTAACAAAAAGGCAGCTGGATCAGCGCAGCTCAGTGTTATCTTGAGCTCCACTGTGTCTATTTTTTAAAAACAGCATCTCTTGCTCCATTCTTAAAAATGTACATGTCATACAATTGGGGGCATCATAAATTTCATTTCTTTCTCATTATCTTAAAATCCACTGTGAATAAACTGTTTTTCAGAGTTATAAAGAATATTCCAAAAAAGTTAACTGCTGGGTTATCCTTTAAATAGGCTATGGTGTAAGATTTTCCTTGATAGCCATGAATTCTGTATAGCACTCTGTTACACCAGCCAATCTGAATCTCAGCAACCCTGTTTATCTTCCATCTCAATCTGAAAACCAAAACCCTTTCATCATACTTCAGTAGTCCCAATACAAAATACTATGCATTTTTTTCTAGGTCATTTTTAGCTGCAGTACTTTAAAAAATTCTATTGTTTATTTAAAGCAAGCAAAACTAAGATTACTACAGTAACCTGCAAATTAAGTTTTTAAAATCATTAACCTTTGAAACATTTTGCCAAATATCATACCTGGAGGTAAGACAGTCTGGGAAGGCATTGTGCTGATCACTGGTTCCAAGGGACTAGGCTGATATATTGCATCTACAGGATTAATAGTACTCTGAGATAAAGAAACACAGTATAATCATTTCTAATTCAATGTTTTTCTCATGCTAACCCTCCCAAATGAATGAAATACCGACAATTCTGACAGCAAAATCCTGAAGGCAGCTATAAAGACAAGGTGATCAAATTGCAAAGAGGAAATGAAATCCTTTTCTATACATAAGTGTTAAGAGTTTCTTGTAACAAAGCATAGCAAGGAAGGAAAAAGAGTAATCTCTGCATACAAGACGGTAAAGCTAAATTGGAAAGCTTGGAAGGAGTTGTAAAGCAGTGTGGGGAGATCAGAGGAAGTCTGATAGCCTCTCAATTCAATTAAGCATGTTCCAATTAATGTACTACAAATAAATGGGTCTTCTGGCTCCTGGCTTTGGCCTGGCTGCTGCAGGCATTTGAGGCGTGAACCAGTGAAGGTCTGTCACTCCCTCTCTTTGTCACTCTATTTTTCAAATAAATAAATCTTTTTTAAAAATATTTTCATTCTTAATAAACACATAATTTTACAAATTTATGGGAAAATAAATAAAAAACGAGAACTCAAAAAAATCCTTATCTTCCAATTTTACTTTGCCATGAACTCTTAACTAGTTTCTCTCTTTGTGCTCTAGTTTTCATGTTAATGAGTGGCTAAGAGACCCAAACCATGAAGATCTCATCTTTGTATTCCACATTCCTGCCACCATCCATCCCTGGGAACCACACAGTACAGTGCCTAGTTCTATGGTCACTCCAGGTGGAAATGCTTCAGTTCTAATAGGTGTAGTTATATGTAGCAATAATTTTAGGGGAAAAAGGAAATCCAGGCTTCTCTGATTCTAAGCCAAGAAACTATTCCAACAGTAAGAAGGCATTTTAAAAACAGGACTCCAGAGCTTACTGTTGCTTTTTATTGAGGAGGAGGGAGTGGAATGGATTTGAAACCAAGGTCTTTGCCACTGTAAACGTGAGACTACCATTTAGAAGACCAAATTAGGGGCTGGTACAATGGTGTAGCAGATAAAACCGTTTTCTGCAGTGTCAGCATCCCATATGGGAGCCAGTTCATGTCCTGGTTGCTCCACTTTCGATCCAGCTCTTGACTATGGTCTGGAAAAGCAGAAGATGGCCCAAGTCCTTGGGCCCCTGCACCCATGTGGGAGACCTAGAAGAAGCTCCTGGGGTCCTGGCTTCTGCCTGGCCAGGCTCCAGCCGTGGCAGCCATTTTGGGGGTAAACCAAAGGATGGAAGACCTCTCTCTCTCTCTCTCTCTGCCTCTACCTCTGTAACGCTGCTTTTCAAATAAATTAATTAATTAATAAATCTTAAAAAAAAAAAAGATCAAATTAGACAAACTCCAGAAACACAGACGTTGAGTTCTTTACCTTTCCTTGATGTGCAAACTAAACTTGAAATATACATTAGAGTTTGTAACGGAAAATATTTAAATATTTAAACAGAATTTTATAAAGGAAAAGTCTTGCTAATGAAAGAGCCCAAAAATATTTGTAAACACTTATAAGCAGGGTGGGCGTTTGGCCCAGCAGTACAGACACCAGTTAGATGCCCATCTCCCACACTGGACTGCCTGGGTTTGATCCCTGGCCCTGGCTCTGGCTCTGATTTCAGGTTCCTACTAATGCAGACTCTGGGATGCAGAGGTGATGGCTCAAGTAACTGGATTCTTGGAACCTACGTGAGATACCTGGATTGAGTTCCCAGCTCCCAGTTTTGGCTTGATCCAGTCCTGGCCCCATCCATTTGGAAAGCAAACTAGTAAATAAGAGAATTTTCTGTCTCTCAAAAACAAACGAAAACTTAAGAAGCACCTAACAGTAGAAACAGAGATAATGGTAAAGTTCTTGTAATATTTCTATCTTATGCCTAATTTTAAAACATTTTAAAAATCAAAATCTTTCTGTACAAATATGTAAAGATTTATGTATTCATTTGAAAGGCAGAGTTATATAGAGAGAGAAGGCGAGAGAGAGAGAGAGATTCTTCCATTTGCTGCTTCACTCTCCAAATAGCTGCAATGGCCAGGACTGGCCCAGGTTGAAGCCAGGAGCTTCTTCCAGGTCTTCTGAGTGGGTGGAGGAGTCCAAGCACTTAAGCTATCTTCTCAGGTGCATTAGCAGGGAGCTGGATCCAAAGTGGAGCAGCTGGGACTTGAACCAGTGTCCATTTAGGATTCCAGCACTGCGAGCCACGGCTTTAACTGGCTGAGCCACAGTGCTAGCCTCTCTGCATAATATTTTAATTTTTTTGACAGGCACAGTGGACAGTGAGAAAGAGAGAGACAGAGAGAAAGGTCTTCCTTTGTTTTATTTTTATTTATTTATTTTTTGTTTATTTATTTATTTTTTGACAGGCAGAGTGGAGAGAGAGAGAGAGACAGAGAGAAAGGTCTTCCTTTGCCGTTGGTTCACCCTTCAATTGCCGCCACGGCCGGCGCACTGCGGCCAGCGCACTGCGCTGATCCGATGGCAGGAGCCAGGTACTTATCCTGGTCTCCCATGGGGTGCAGGGCCCAAGTACTTGGGCCATCCTCCACTGCACTCCCTGGCCACAGCAGAGAGCTGGCCTGGAAGAGGGGCAACTGGGACAGAATCCGGCGCCCCGACCGGGACTAGAACCCGGTGTGCCAGCGCCACAAGGCAGAGGATTAGCCTAGTGAGCCGCAGCGCCGGCCCTCTCTGCATAATATTTAAAAATCAATAAATCAGATCTTTTAAACTAAGTGATTTGTACACAGGTATTCTGATTTAGGCCACTATAACAGTCTATCTACCATAAATAAAATACATACATACATACATACACACACACACACACATACTTTATATATATTTATATATTTGAGAGGCAGAGTTACAGACAGAGAGAGGAAGAAACAGAGAGAAAGGTCTTCTATCTGCTGGTTTATTCCCCAAATGGCCACAGCGGAGCTGGGTCAATCCAAAGCCAGGAGCCAGGAGCTTCCTCCGGGTCTCCCATGCAGTTGCAGTGGCTCAAGCACTTGGGTCATCGTCCACTGCTTTCCCAGGACAATAGCAGGGAGCTAGACTGGAAGTGGAGCAGCCCATATGGGATGTCAGTGCCACAGATGGATGCTTAACCTACTACGCCACAGTGCCAGCCCCTCTACCATAACTATTCTAACTGAAAAATAAAAGGACACTTACAGAGAATACACCCTGAAAACAATCATTAATAATCAAAAGCCTATGCCGGTGCTGTGGCACAGTGGGTTAACTCCCTGGCCTGAAGCACTGGCATCTCATCTGGGTACTGGTTTGAGACCCGGCTGCTCCATTTCCGATCCAGCTCTCTGCTATGGCCTGGGAAAGCAGTAGAAGATGGTGCAAGTCCTTGGGCTCCTGCATCCGTGTGGGAGACCCAGAAGAAGCTCCTGGCTCCTGACTCGGATTGACACAACTCTGGCCAGTTGGGGAGTGAACCATTAGATGGAAGACCTCCCTCTTTCTCTGTCTCCACCTCTCCCCCTCTCCTCTTTCTGTGTAACTCTTTCAAATAAATAAATCAATCTTAAAAAAAATAATCTTCTAAAGCTTAGTAAACTGAAGTAGGGAATGTTTTGAAGCAGTGAGAAAATACATAGAAATAGACTTGGAATTTTAATTCCTTAGAACCCTCCAGTCTCTTATCTTCAATGGGACTCACTTTCTTGGTCTATAAAAGGAAGAAGAGTCTGGATTATATGATCTCCAAGGAGGTATCTGGTTATAATTTTATGATTCTATTTTCAGATCTGGACTAGGCCAAACTTCAACTAAACAAGTGTCTCAACAAGCCTTAGAACTGTTCTCAAAATAAATTCTTATTTATATGGTGCTTTTCTTTGAAGGACTCTAAGTGCAAAATCCTACAGGAATATATAACTTCCTTACCCCTTCTACTAAAAAAGACTAAAAAATAAAATAACTTTAAGGACACACAATTCCATATTTTAGATATAATCTTTTGTTTTCCACATGAAATGTTCTAATTATAAGTCCTGTCAATCAAAGAAAATATCTGTAGACCTTTTACTGCACTGATAAACAAAAATAATGGGAGGCTACTACTTTAGATTGAGCTCTTGCAGTAAGCCCCAACATATCAGACCAAACCAACTTGGAGTCACTCATGCTAAATGCCACATAACCAAAGTGAAACTCTAAGGAAGCAAGTACGTTCCAAAATAGACCAGTCCTTCTTGAAAATAGGAGATTCCAGTCTACCTGACCCAGCATATGAAGGAAGTCATCTTAAGTCCTGTTAACCAATCAGATTGGAAAACAATCTTCTGTTTCTTTGTTCCCACCTTACAAAACCCACTGATCTGCCATTGCTCAGCGGGAGCTCTCAATCTATTTTGTAGAATGTAGGCTCTCTCTCTTTACAAATCAGAAAAAAAAAAAAGACAATTAGAGGGGCTAGCGCTGTGGCACAGTAGGTTGGGCCTCCATCTGTGGCACCAGCATCCCATGTGGATGCTGTTTCGAGTTCTGGCAACTCCACTTCTGATCAAGCTCCCTGCTGATATCCTGAGAAGGCAGTAGAAGATGGCCCAAGTGCTTGGGCCCCAGAATCACAAGGGAGACCTGGAGGAAGCTCCTGGCTTCTGGCTTCTGAGTGGCTCAGCTCAGCCACTGTGGCCATTTGGGGAGTGAACCAGCAGACGGAAGAACTCTTTCTGTCTCTCTCTCTCTGTAACTCTGCATCTCAAATAAAAATGTTTAAAAAATGATACTTAGTTCTATAACGAACTTTTTTGTAATTTTGTCTTTTTCAACCTCATGTTAAAAGGACTCAATCTTTTTTTTAATTTATTTTTTATTTTTTGACAGGCAGAGTGGACAGAGAGAGAGAGACAGAGAGAAAGGTCTTCCTTTTCCATTGGTTTACCCTCCAATGGCCGCTGCAGCCGGCCCTCCGTGCTGATACGAAGCCAGGAGCCAAGTGCTTCTCCTGGTCTCCCATGTGGGTGCAGGGTCCAAGCACTTGGGCCATCCTCTACTGCACTCCCAGACCACAGCAGAGAGCTGGACTGGAAGAGGAGCAACTGGGACAGAATCCGGTGCCTCGACCGGGACTAGAACCCGGGGTGCCGGCGCCGCAGGCAGAGGATTAGCCTATTGAGCCATGGCGCTGGCCAGAAGGACTCAATCTTTTGTTGCTGTTGCTCAGGCTAAAATACATCAAATTACATAATAAAATTTGCTTTAAAATGAAATATGCAGAGCTTGAGATGTGCAAATAATAATCCTTCACCCTAATCTGTTCTGACATTAAAAAAACTCTTACAATATATGTAATAAAGTATATAGAACTAACATTTGTTGAAAATTATTTGCCTATTCTGTACTTATAACAACATTCTGAGGTAGAGGTCTTTCGGCTTTCTCCAGAGATGAGGAAATTAAGACTCAGAAGAAATAAGTCATTTGTGGGGCCAGCGCTGTGGCACAGCGGGTTAAAGCCCTGGCCTGAGGCGCCGGCATCCCATATGGGCGCCGGTTCTAGTCCCGGCTGCTCCTCTTCCCATCCAGCTCTCCGCTGTGGCCCGGGAAGGCAGTGGAGGATGGCTCAAGTCCTTAGGCCCCTGCGCCTGGGTGGGAGACCTGGAGGAGGCTCCTGGCTCCTGGCTTCAGATCGGCACAGCGCCGGCCGTTGAGGCCATTTGGGGAGTGAACTAATGGATGGAAGACCTCCCTCTGTCTCTTGTCTCTACCTCTCTATGTAACTCTTTCAAATGAATAAAATAAATCTTTATTAAAAAAAAAAGAAATAATTTGTCCAAGGTTACAAAAAGTGAATACCAAGGTTGTCATTTAAATGCAAGCAATCTGGCCCTCCAAAGTCAAAAACTCTTGAAGAAAACTGCTGGGGCCAACACTGTGGCACAGAAGGTTAAATCATTGCTTGCAATGCTGGCATCCATATTGGAGTATTGGTTCAAGTCCTAGTCCCTCCACTTCCATATGCAAGTTCATGCTAGTGTGCCTGGGAAGACAAGAGGATGATGGTCTAAGTGCTAAGGCCCCTACCACCTCCATGGCATATCCTGGCGACTGGCTTTGGCCTAGCCCAGACCTGGCTTTTGAGACTATTTGGGGAATAAACCACTGGATGGAAGTTCTTTCTCTCTGTTGCTCTACCTCTCAAGGAAATAAATAAATAAACCTTAAAAAAATAAAAATTAAAAAAAAGAATGATACAGTACCTGAGCAAATGATTCAAATATGGTTGTTTTCACAAGTTTAAATTTTCTATGAGTATCAATTTCCTAAAGACTTAAATTGAACACCATCAAATATATTTGGTATGTTTTATAAACATGCCCACTTTAAAAAAATAATAAAATGTAACCTATTTGGTTTTGAGGGGAAAGAGATCAGAAAATTGCCAACAAGATTTTCCTCAGAGTCGTCTTTGGGAACCACAACAAGCTAAGTAACATATAGTCCTTCCCTGTGAGGCTCACAATCTTTAATGAGATTTCAGGCACAGATATATCATGTTGTAGTTATATCATGTAATTATTATTTTTTAATTTATTTGACAGATAGAGTTATAGACAGTGAGAGAGAGAAACAGAGAAAGGTCTTCCTTCCGTTGGTTCACTCCCCAGATGGCCGCTATGGCCAGCACTGTGCCAATCCGAAGCCAGGAGCCAGGTGCTTCTCCTGGTCTCCCATGTGGGTGCAGGGCCCAAGGATTTGGGCCATCCTCTACTGCTTTCCCAGGCCATAGCAGAGAGCTGGATTGGAAGAGGAGCAGCTGGGACTAGAACCTGGCGCCCATATGGACTGCCGGCGCTGCAGGTGGAAGATTAACCAAGTGAGCCACTGTGCCAGCCCCTATATCATGTAATTATATCACCAAGGCTCCCACTATGAAAAGAAAAAAAATTCTAATATTTTTAATTAAAATTTTAAGAACGCTTCTTTTATCTCTGGTTTCATAAGAAATATGCAAACATAATTAACTTTATTTTTTCATTTTAAACCAAATATAATGATAACATTCTCTTCCATTTACGTATAATCATGAGTTGTCTTTGAAAACTTAGATCTGTTTCCAGATCTCAAACAACATGGCATTTGTAGTCTTGGGACAAAAAACAAGTTGCCTTTCACATTTGAAATACAGGCTGAACAGAAATCACTCAGTTACCATAAAACGAGGGTCACTCAAACTAAAAACTTCAAGCTCTAACTTTCATTTCCAGCTGGAAAACATGAACACTAACAAATCATCTTTGTTTTTAGAGGGGAATTTGAATACAAGGGGAAGGCAAAAAACTATACAGGAGGAAATAAGACTATGGCTGTAAGTACAAGAAGTTGTGTTGTAACTTGTTAAAGCAAAAATGTAGTATATACCACAGTAACAATGGTAATTAACACAATACACACAATCTAAACAGAAGAAATAGGAACCAAGAAATATATTTAAACTTGTTAATAAAAGTATCATTTTTGCAGCCCTCCCTCTCTGCTTTCATCTGAGAAAAAAAGAAGTTTGACAGGAAATATAGCATTATGAATTATGCCTTATTGTAAAAGCAGAATTTTCATACCATGATTAACCCTTCAGGTTAGCACATGCAAAATAATTCAACTGGAACCAACACTTAGAAAAAATTTCAGATTGTCATTTCCCCTCCAAATGATTTCTAAGATGACAATGTTAGGTGTGCAAGAAAATTAGCAAGAGTCAACAACAGAAAGCAGTGAGTAGTGAAAAGAAGAATTTGCGTTGAAAAATGAGAAATTCAGGCTTCTCCTGACATGACTGGTTATAATGCTCTGCAGAAGTAAAAGAAAAAATCAAAGATTAGGTTAAACTTACTATAATTCCATCTGCGTGCTTCTCCGCATTACTCTGGTCCTTAAGGAAAAATGTTAAAAATATTAACTTCATTCTTAAATTTAAGTAACTCCTTGGGTACTTTTCAAGCAAAGAAAGTTTATTTTACTAGGTAAGTAATAATGTTAGAATATTATTTCTCTGCCTTCACTGAGATTTTAATTCCATTTGTACATTCCAAGCCAAACACAATTCCATCACTGGCTACATACAACAATCAACACCAAGAGCATGGGTATTCTACAAGAAGTAATCATCAGGGATTTGGGGAAGAAAGTAGGCACACCGAGAAAATTTAAAGAAGGAAAAATGTTTTTAAATATTCAAAGTTCGAATGATATAGTATTAGCAGATTTTTGGAACACTGCAATCAAAGAAAGCTATCTCGGAGTTCCTCATAATCACTCATGTGAAATGGTCACTACAGGGGCCAGTGTGTCACAGCAGGTTAAGCTGCTGCTTTGGATGCTTGCATTTCATTTTGGAGTGCCGATTCCAGTCCCAGCTGCTCTGCTTAGGATCCAGATTCCTGCTAATGCATCCTGAGAAGCAGAAGACGATGGTTTAAGCACCAAGGTCCCTGCCATCAACCTGGAGGACCTTGGTGGTGTTCTGAGTTCCCAGCTTCACTTGACCTAGACCTAGCTGTTGTAGGCATCTGGGGAGTGAACCAGCAGATGGAGGAGTTTTTTTGAGAGTTAAATGAGAAATCTACGAAGGTGCTTTCTAAATGAGAAAATACTATATAAAAAAATCTATGAAAATGCTTTTTAAATGAGAAAATACTATATAAAATATTTTTAATAATGAAGGGCAAAGTAATAAAATCCTTGCTTCACTCAAGTACATGCAAACTAAAACAGATGTCATATACAAATAGAAATATGGTAAGTGTACCTAGTTGCTTCCATGTTTTTTTTTTTTTCCCTTCATTGGAAAATTTGGAGAAGTTCTGAAAAATGAAGGAGAAACCAGACACACAATTATTATAATGGATGTCACGTATTCCTTCTTTTCCTTTTAAAGAAAACTCTCCAAAGAAATAACTGTAACTATGGGGGAGGGTTGTATATCTTTTATATGTTTAAAATTTTAACTCTATTATTATCTGTAAGTTTTCAAGTTTTAACAGAAACCAATCTTTGGTCCTGATTTTAAACACAGTGGTCAATTTACTTCTCATTCATCCATAACCTTTTATTTAACCATTGAGTTTACTCAGAAGTCTACCATTTTGATGGGTCAACAGAGAGCAATCTAAAGAATCTGGGAGGCCGGCACTGTGTAGCAGGTAAAGCTGCCGCCTGCAGTGTCAGGATCCCATACGGGTGCTGGTTCGAGTCCCAGCTCCTCCACTTCCGATCCAGCTCTCTACTATGGCCTGGGAAAGGAGTGGAGAATGGCCCAAGTCCTTGGGTCCCTTTACACGCATGGGAGACCTGGAAGAAGCTCCTGGCTTCTGGCTTTGGATCAGCCAGCTCTGGCTGCTTTGCAGCCATCTGAAGAGTGAACTAGCAGATGGAAGACCTCTCTCTCTATCTGCCTCTCTTTCTCTCTGTGTTTAACAATGACTTTCAAATAAATAAATAAATCTTTTATTTATTTTTTTATTTGTCAGGTAGAGTTATAGACAGTGAGAGACAGAGAGACAGAGAGAAAGGTCTTCCTTCCGCTGGTTCACTCCCCAAATGGCTGCTATGGCCGGCGCTGTGCCGATCTGAAGCCAGGAGCCAGGTGCTTCTTTCTGGTCTTCCATGAGGGTGCAGGGGCCCAAGTACCTGGGCCATCCTCCACTGCCCTCCCAGGACACAGCAGAGAGCTGGACTGGAAGGGGAGCAACCGGGACTAGAACCCGGCACCATATGGGATGCTGGCACCACAGGCAGAGGATTAACCAAGTGAGCCACGGTGCCAGCCCCATAAATAAATCATTTTTAAAAAAAGAATTTGGGTAAATTTTAATGTATTTTTTTAAAAAGTTTATATATTTATTTGAATGGCAGGGAGAGAAAAAGGAGAGAAAAATCTTCCATCTACTGGTTCACTCCTCAAATCCCCAACAGCTGGAGTGGCTGGGCCAGGCTGAAGCCAGGAGTCAGGAACTCCTTCCAGGTCTCCCGCATGTGTGGCAGGTGTCCAAGTACGTGGGCCATCTTCTGCTGATTTCCCAAGCACATTAGCAGGGGGGTGGATCAGAAGTACAAGAGCCAGGCCTCCAACGGGCATTCTGAGATGGGATGCAAGTGTCTCAAGCAGAGGCTTACACAATGCCCACTCTGAGATAATTTTTTTAAGTGTATGTGCAGAAAATAACTAACACAGTAGGCCTGAGATGGCTGTCCTTAGAAAAGCCTGCCTGCAAAGCTAGTCTTGGACTGAAACTCAGGTTTCAGGAGGGCTCCCACCACTTTAACTGGTTAGAGGGACTGTGCCTCAACTGTTCATGCAAACAATATGGATTATGGCTGCTTTTCTTCTAGAAGTCTGGGATTTTGGGAAATGCCAGATGGAGTGCTTATGTGACAAATCTCCAGTGAAAACCCTGGGCACAATGTCTCTCATAAGCATCTCTGGCAGAGAACATTTCATATGGTGTCATGATTTTGTTGCTGGTTAAATGCATCCTGTACAGCTCCACTAGGAGAAGACTCTTGGAAGACTAACTGGCTTCCTCTAAATTTTTCCTTATGTACCTTTTTCCTTTGCTAATTGTGCTGCTGTAAGTCATGGCTGTGAGGCGTTCTAGCAAATTTCCACACCTAGGGGTGGTAATAACATGTGATTTCTGAGATAGGTAATGGAAATGCCACAAATTTCCACATTGCTTTCCTGGAACAAACAATACACAGTGAGAAAGTCCAAGCAGCCATGTAGAACTATACTCATGGAGAGGAACGGAGGCTTTCAGTTCCCATCACTCAAGTTAGCAATACTCAAAGTGGATCTTCCAGTCTCCAGTCAAGCTGCTATAGGACATGCTGAGGGGGGACTGCCCAAATTGCAGATTCATGAACAAGATAAAAGGACTATACCTATTTTAAGACCCTTGGTTTGGGGGTGGTTTGTTATATAGCAAAATATTACCTATAAAGTATATTATCAAAAAAACCAGAGTAACTCTAATTCTGGATAATTTAAAACAAACTATTAAACATGTGACAATCTTTTTTCCCTCAAAATGTTGTCAATTTATAAGCTACCTACACAATATTTTACATCAGAGTTTCCTATTTCTGTCACTGCTGTGCTTTGTTTCTCAAGGTAAGGTGAAATTAAGATGAACCCATAGAATATCAAATGGCTATCAGTCATTCTCATGAAATTTAGGGATTGTGTCCTAGTACTTAAAAAAACTTACACTCAGGGCTGGCACTGTGGCATAGCAGGTAAAGCACCATCTGCAGTGCCGGCTGCAAGTCCCGGCTGCTTCACTTCCAATCCAGACCTCTGCTATGGCCTGGGAAAGCAGTAGAAGATGACCCCAGTCCTTGGGCCCCTGCACCTATGTGGGAAACCCGGAAGAATTTCCTGGCTCCTGGCTTCAGATCGGTGCAGCTGCAGCCGTTGCAGCCAATTAAGGAGTGAACCAGTGGGTGGAAGACCTCTCTCTCTCTGTGTAACTCTTTCAAATAAATAAATAAATCTTAAAAAAAAAAAAAAAGGCTTATACTCACTTTTCCCTCTCTATTTCCATCTTTCATTCCCTTGGTTTTTTTGTTTTTGTTTTTGTTTTACCATATGTTAGTTTGGTTTTAAGACCTCATTCTTTTTTGTTTCTTAAAACTAAAAAAGATGCATACAACAGAAAGACAACCTTGTATTTGCTTATTTGAAAGAGAGATTCACACAGAGAGACTACTGGTTTACTCCCCAAACGGCCAGGAGCTTCATCTGGGTCTCCCACGTGGGTGGCAGAAGACCAAACACTTGGGCCATCCTTCAGCTGCCTTCCCAGGTACATTATTAGCAGGAACCAGATAGGAAGTGGGGCAGCTAAGACACGAACCAACACCCATATGGGATGCCAGTGGTCCCAAGACCCTATTCTTAAATAAAATGTCTATTCTCTTCTCTGAGAGGTATATACCAACATGATTGAGTCTAAAAATACAATAGTGCATATCAGGACCACATAATCTGGGAGAACTTCTGACTAAAATTAAGAACTTCAGTTGTTTAAAACCATGTCTACCATTAAAATACATGAAATATATCCCTACCTCTCTAGTGAGGAAATTAGCCCAGTGAAATCTCTATTAATTATAGACCTGTACAGTTTCTATTATATGATAAAAGAAATTTTCTAATTCAAGTTTCATGAGATTCAATAAATGAGGCTTACATGACTATATATCCACTGCACTCCCTGGCCACAGCAGAGAGCTGGCCTGGAAGAGGGGCAACCGGGACAGAATCCGGCACCCCGACTGGGACTAGAACCTGGTGTGCCGGTGCCGCAAGGTGGAGGATTAGCCTAGTGAGCCGCGGCGCCGGCCTTTTTATGTTTTTAAGATGATTTTTTTTAAAGATTTATTTTATTTATTTGAAAGACAGAGTTACAGAGAGAGGTAGAGACACAGAGAGAGAGACAAGCCTTCCCTCTGCTGCTTCATTCCCCAAATGGCCAAACAGCTGGAGCTAAGCTGATCTGAAGCCAGGATCCAGGAGCTTCTTCCAGGTCTCCCATGTGGGTGCAGGGTCTCAAGGACCTGAGCCATCCTCTGCTGCTTTCCAAGGCAGATGGATGGGAAGTGGAGCAGTCAGGACTTGAACTGGCACCCATATGGGATAGCAGTGCTGCAGGCCAGGGCTTTAATCTACAGTGCCACAGAGGCAGCCTCTGCTCCACTTCTGATCCAGCTTCCTACTAATGGCATGGGAAAAGCAGGAGAAGACAGCCCATGTGTTCAGGCCCATGCCACTCATGTGGGAGACCTGAATGAAGCTCCTGGCTCTGGGCTTCAGCCTAGCCCAGTCCAGACCACTGTGGCCATCTGGGGAGAGAACCTGTAGACGGAGGA